GGCAGCAACAGATCTGAAGTTTCTTATAAACTTCCTATAGAAGTTTGCAAACCCAAGAAACTGCTGGACCTTCTTCCTGGAGTCTGGTGTTGGCCACTTGGAAACTAAACTGACTTTTGTAGGATCCATCTGTATCTGATTTGGTGAGATTATGTATCCTAAAAAGACACCTTTTCTGCGTGGAACTCACATTTCTCTGCCTTGACATATAGTTGATTCTCAAGCAGTTTCTGCAGAACCTGACGGACATGGTTAACATGGGATTCAGAGTCTGGTGAGAAAATCAAAATATCATCAAGATACACAAACATAAAAACATTCAAAAACTCCCGCAAAACCTCATTCACAAAAGCCTGAAACACAGCCAGTCCAAAAGGCATTACCAGATACTCATAGTGGCCACTCTGAGTGTTGAATCCTGTCTTCCACTCATCCCCCTTCCTTATCCTAACCAAGTGGTATGCATTTCTTAAGTCCAACTTGGTGAATATTTTGGCAGTCTGAAGTAGTTTGAATGCAGAGGACATGAGTGGCAGAGGATAGCGGTTCTTTACCGTAATGTCATTGAGAGGACTGTATGCAAGGTCTCAGAGACCCATCTTTCTTTCCGACGAAGAAAAACCCTGCCCGGTGAAGATGAAGGGCGGATAATCCCTGATTTGATGTAGTCGTCCATTGCTGCTCTCTCTGGTCTTGAGATAGAATAAAGTCTTTCTTTGGGAATGGGAGCTCCCGGTAGGAGATCAATGGGACAGTCAAAAGATCGGTGAGGAGGTAGCGACATGGCTTTCGATTTGTTAAAGGCTTCCTTTAAATCGTGGTAACATGGAGGTACTTTCTGTAAATCAGGATAATCAAGATGATCTATAATAATCCTACCAGGATCAGTTGGTGCATTAACAGGCCACAGTAGAAGCAGCAGCCCTCCTGCAGACGGCGCTGCCTCTCCTCCAGAGAAAGCCTGGTTCTACCCAACTGCATGGGTTCGTCTGTGTCAAGCGGAGGCGCTGTCCTCCGACGGTCCGAAGCCGCGGGCTGGATAACTTCACCTGGCGGAGCGGCTCTCCGAGGAAAGCCCTGGAAACTGGGATTTCCGTCACGGGTGTGCCGGCGCTCTCTCTCCCTTTCCCGAAGTCGGTTGTCGATCCGGATGGACACAGGGATGAGAGATTCCAGGTCCCGTGGCACCTCCAGAGGAGCCAGCTGGTCCTTTATCGGATCTGTAAGTCCAGTCATAGAGGCGTCACGGAGAGCCGGAGTATTCCACCCGCTGTCCGCTGTCTCGATTGCATAATCAACCACCTGGCGGTTGTGCTAGCGCATCTGAAGAAGTCTTCTGCTGGCTTCTGTAGCAGGCGACGAGTGGTCAAATATGCGACTCATAGTGTCTATGAAGTCGGCTAATGAATAGCATAGCTCGGAGTCTCTGGACCATTCTGCAGTAGCCCAGGCTGCAGCTCTCCCCGTTAAATGGGACAGGATAAACGCCACTTTAGCATGGTCTGATGAAAAAGCCCCTGGATTGTGTTGAAAATGCAGATCGCACTGCACAAGGAAGGCTCTGCAGTTGATGGAGTCTCCGGAGGAGCAGTCTGCAGATGAGCGATGAATTGATGCATGTGATCCGTCAGCTGTTGTATCTGTGAAGAGATGGAATCTTGGAGCTCGGCCTGGCTGATTAAGCCCAGCTGTTCCTCATGGTGAAAGATCCTCACGCCTTGGGCTGACAGGGCGGCGTGAAGTGTCTTTGGGTTGGCTGAGGCGCCGTTTACACGAGGAGAAAACTGCTTGTATCTGCATAGTTTCGCGTGCGTATAGCCCTATTATTTACACGAGGCCGATAGAAACTGACCCCACAAACGATAACGGGTCCCAAGGTGGATAGATTTGCAAACAAAACGCTCTGGGGGGTCAACCGAGTCCGTGTAATCACCTCTATACGAATATTTCCTGAAAAAATAACGATAGCCCCACCTTTCCCCACCTCTCCTGCTCACTGCTGTAGCATGGCTGTGTTAATTAAACGCACAAGGGGTTCTTGAATGAAATAATATTATAAAAGGCAAACCAGAATTGTTAATGCCCAATATACTCCTTAAACAAAATAAACAGAGTCAGATTTCATGCATTGATCCATTATATTGACAAAGGAGGATCTCACCCGGTGTTTGTAGAGAATATCTCTCTGAGCGAGTCCTCTCCACGGAGACATGCTCCTCCTCCTGTCAGTAGCTACTGCTAGTGCTACTGCTACTGACCATGCTACAGATATTAGTGCAAAAATATACAGCTCCTCTACCACAACCATCAGCAACAAGTGGACATGGAGAATTACATGAACTACATGTTGCTAAATCCACGGCGGGGCGTAAACAGAAGGGTAGCCATGGCAACATTGCTGCGGGGCTGCTGCGGAGTCTTCTTCACTGCTTTTGGTGTATTTTGTGGCGGAAGTTACAGCGCCACTTACAGTCCCGGCATATGTACTACAGCGTTTCCAGCGGTCTCGTTTGAACAGACACGTTAAATGAAACAAATGCATGTGAACGGAACACTTTTTTGAATACGCATACTGTGCATAAACGCAAACGGTCCCGTGTGAGCGGGGCCTAAGTCCATTGTGATCGGTTCGTTCTATCACGAACTTCGAAACACAAGGAAAAGGACTCAAATGCACAACCCGGGAGACAGAGGTAAAGTATAAGTGATATACTTTATTTCCAAAATATGTATACAAAAGATGATCGACACTCTTAACGAGGTGACAAAAAAGCTCAAAAAAGGCACAAAGAAAATCGCTTACTACGTGAGGAACAACATTTACAAGAGTTTCAGGAGCATGAATCAGGCTTGAGACAAGATATGAAATCGCTGGTAAGAAGACTACTGGCATGGAGACAGGACAAGACGAACTGACACAAGACAAAGGAAGGCTGGGGAATTTAAACAAAAGGTAATTGGCACAGGTGGAAGCAATCAGGGGTGGGGCTGACGCTGATGAGAGCGGGAGACACACACAAGAGGCGCGTTCACACCGGAGTACTTTTCCCCGTACTTTTCCCGTTTAGTTCCGTTAGTACCCCTTATTTTGCGTTCACACCAAAAAGAGTACTTAGTGCCGGGAACTTTTACCCCCATTTTTAGTGCCTGCTAGAGAGGTGGTACTATCCTGGGGAGAAAAAAGTACCAATTTCTATTGGCTGGGCGAATTGCAAACCACGCCCCGTAAAACTTTTGTAAAAAGTTTTGTGAAGCCGCCATTGTATTTGCTGGCATTAGCATTATTAGCATTAGCATTAGCCCCGCGCACCAATGGAGAGAGAATAACTTATGGCAACACAAAAAAAAACATGGGAGCGGTGGAGTGATGAGGAGGTGTCGACGTTCTGGCGATTTACTCGGAAGGCTTCAGTAGAAGCTGCTGGGAGTCCCAGCAGCTTCTAATGAAGCCAGTCCCCAACTCCGGGTACTTCCGGCCGGGGACTTCGGGTGGCAGTATACGCCGTGAAGTGGTTTGCGGCCTGCCAGTAAACCCAAAGCAGAAGAAGATGAAGTGACGTCAGCGGCTCATTTGCGTAATCTTCCCTCAGGGAACTTATTTCCGGTGTGAACGTGATCTGTACTTAGTTCCATGGGGGTACTAAGTGCCGGCAAAATACTTGGTGTGAAAGCGGCTAAGGATAGGGAGTGAATGGACCTGGAATGAAACACAAAAGGTGAGTTCCAAAATAAGACAGGAAGTGGGAGACAAGACAAAAAATGATTAAACAAAAACATAAAACATGACTGAACTCAACACTTCACGGGACACAACAGTGTGTTAATCCATCTATCCATCAATCTGCCTGTCCATGAACTTGCTAAATGAGAAGCTGTTGAAAGGTTACTGCATAGATGTCCAAAGGGTCATCAACAGACACAACTTATCAACTCGTCAGTTGTATTCCTGGAGTTCTATTGTCTGCTGATGATGTACCAAGAATATATATGAGCCCCGGTCTGACATTTGTGGCACAGTGCTGGAATAATTCATGCTTCAGTAGTAGATGAATATCTAATTTGTGACAGATTGGGAATGATCAAATTAACTCAAGGTTCTTAGATGGAAAAAGTACAGCTCTCACATAGCAAATCTATAATTTGTATTTATGGGTAAGAAATTCATTCTTTTTTTTCAAATTGTGATTTATGACTTCAGTGACCCCTGGTGTCCCTCATGGTCTTGTTTCATGTTACTGTAGTTGTCAAGAGGACTTCACACTACCTAATATATGCATTACAGTTTCCAAACCACACCAACGGATCCTGAACAGCAGTTACCAGTAAAAACACTGGGCAGGTCCATAGCATGAATATATACAATTCAATACCATGATACTTCATTATCGTTTCAAGACAGAATTTTCTTGCATCACAGCTGCGCGATGTGCAACACTAACAAGGAATAAGACAGTATGTTCAAGACCCTTTAAAATGTATTTGATCTTGGATTTAACTCAGTATTTAACTCGCTGGACACTGTATTTCCGTTTTGATGTGAACAATTCACATTAGCTGTTCAGGACATGGTTAGGGGCAGAGGCAATGTTTTTTTGCATTTCTGGTTGACTCATAGTTTTTTGGGGAAAATAAACTACAGAAAGGAGTTAAGATAAAAGTAGTGCAAGAGGGCATCTCCTACTGAAACAGATAGTTGTGCTAGTGAGAGAGTTTAGGATTGATCTCTCCCGCAGATGTCCAAGGCAAATTTCATGGAGTCTGTCCAGAGGTGATAAATCTAGAAGCAGAGCCCATGTTTCCGCTTCCATTAAAGCTGTTTGGGTCAACACGTGGTCCTGTCTATTTTTGACCTAGTCTCTTCTCTACCAGTGTGCCAGAAGGAGAGTACTACACTGTTCATTCTCACTTTCACAGGAACTACCTGTACATGTTTATGTCTGATGAACGAATGCTCGACATTTTTGCACGATTTGTGGAATGATTAATGGATTGGTCGACAGCTCTATGGGGAGTACCAAGAGAACCAGGGAGGCTCCGGGAGACGGGAGGCCACACGCCTGCTGACTGAGAGACAGATCAAGAAACATGGAAACCACCCTCGCAGCCACGGCAGGACAAGACATGGCCGACGTAGCCATGGTCAGAATGGATATCACAGCAGACATCAGCTTGGCTATTACAGCAGGCAGAGGAGGCGTCAGTCCGCCATGGACACCGAGGGCAAAGAGCAGGATCAAACTGCTGAACCCGACCCCACGTCCTCCACGAAAAAGAAACGCTCCTACTCCAAGTGTAGAGGTGAGCATCCCTAAGAATAACAAAAGAAGGTCAATACACTTTTACTACTACTTTGTTGTGGTTTTTGGTTTTGTCAGACTGCATAGCACGGGTGCAGCGATTCCTGGTGACCAGGTTGGGAGAAGACTGGATCTTCCTCATTATGCTGGGCATCACAATGGCGCTGGTCAGCTGGACAATGGACTATGCCAGCGCAAAAAGCCTGCAAGGTAAGTCTACAAAACCCATAATGCATTGCAGATCTAACAGAGTAGAGTAAAGGCCAAGCTGGAGCAAAATAGCTTGGATATTTGCATCTTTCTTGTCTTCTCTGAATTTTGTTATTCTTTGTTTCATAACTTATTTACCATCTTCTGCATCTATCTTGCATTATTTGTATTTCTTCCTAAAGTGCAGCTATTCATTAATTTATTTTTAGCCATTGTTCTTTTGTTTATAATTTCCCAATTTCCCCCCCTTTTTTATCACTTCCTTTATCTTCCTTCCACCCACCTTCAGCCTATAAATGGATTTATGGGGAGCTGAAGGGGAAAATCGCCTTGCAGTACCTGGCCTGGGTTTCATATCCCCTGATCTTCATCCTGTTCTCCTCCCTCTTCTGTCACCTGGTCGCTCCTCAGGCTATTGGTCTGTAGCCCAGTCCTCCTTATGGCTGTGTTCTCTGTGCTCGTCTACCTATAGTTTCTGGTCAATTACCTCTAAATTATGACTGCATATTAGACAATGTGCATTTAGTCTGCAGCATCACATATTGGAATAGTCATCTCAGCTACTCAGTGAAATGAGATGCTGTAGCATTTTATTGAAATGAAACCCTGTGGAGTTTATCCCTTCAGGGTGCATTATTCAAACTGACAAGAATGTTCTTTATCTAATAGGTTTATTACTTAACTATTTTAAGCAGGTGTAGAGAAAGTGCTTAAAATGGGATCTTGCTTCTTTGTCCAACATTTCACATGGCTGCTGCTGTACAGTCGCTGCAGAGTCAACGGGCATTTTCTTTTCAAATGTGGCTGTACAGCTGTGGGACATAAGCTTCAGACGTGGGCTGTCAAAAATAATGTTGTTTAATCAAAACACTCCAGTGAACTGGACAGTAAATAAATAACTCGACTAGGAAGTAAAAGACTTGTGACATGACTCGATGACTCAAATTACTTGTATGTATGTTTATTTAATGCTTTCAGTTTAAATATCAAAAATATCCAACATTGGCAATGTTGTCAAACATCGTTCAGCTTGGCCTGATATCACATTTATCTCTATTTAGTTGAAGTGATGTTGGGACCATAGTGCTTTTTTTTGACGCTCCTACAATCAAAAATAATGTTCTTATTCAAATGTTGTTTTGGAAAATATACTTACATTTTAAATATTTGTTTACAGGCCTTCTCTACACAATTTTGTATTCTATAATTCAAATGATTCAATGATTCCCCTGTTCCCCTCCAAACAACCTTTTGTTCCCCTTGTGTCTCAGGTTCTGGCATCCCAGAGCTGAAGACCATCCTGAGAGGCGTGGTGCTGAAGGAATATCTAACTCTCAGGGCCTTTGTTGCTAAAGTCATCGGTCTGACGGCTGCCCTGGGCAGCGGGATGCCTGTAGGCAAAGAGGTGGGTCAACCACATTTGTATCATTGATTAAGTAACCAATCTCTTCCTGTATGAAGCTGTCAGAATATCAATGTGCATTTCCACACAATTGTCATCTATTTATTTAAAGGAAAGTAGAACAAATATTAAAAGGTTGAAAATGGTTTGCCCCTGCTTATAGTAGATACCTGTTCGTCTGTCCTACATATTATTCATCAGTATTCACAATAATAGCTGCATCAATCAAAACGATAATACATCACAATACAATGTAATCCAGGTAAATATGTAAAATGGCTTCAACACTCCCTCTACCTTTTTCATTTAATTCAACCATCAACTGCATCTTTCCTCTGGTTTTTGGTATTGTACTGCACACACTGCTATAAAACGTTTTTGGATGAACTGTACTTCATGTCCTCTCAGGGCCCGTTTGTCCACATCGCCAGTATCTGTGCTGTCGTTCTCAGCAGGTTCATGTCCTTCTTTTCAGGAGCTCAGGTAAGCTGATGTTAAGAAAATATTGAATTTTCAAGCAACTGTTACCTGTGATTATAATAAAATGTGTACTGTATGTATACTCATCTATATGTCATCTTTCTGTTCTCTCAATCCTCCCTCCTCTTCCTCCTCTCTGGATCAGTAGAATCCATACTGTTACACAGACATCCTGACAGTGGGCTGTGCTGTCGGGGTGGGCTGCTGCTTTGGGACTCCACTTGGAGGTACACAGTCTTCTCTCTTCTCTGTGTCTGTCTCTTTTTCACATCCCACATCTTCCCTCACCCACCCAGTACATTTAAATTGTAAGCTATGTTCAAGGGGTTTAACATTTCTTTAAGTATCCACAAGTGTTCCATTTCACAGGAAAGACCAGGTTGTTTTACATGCACCTTCTTGCTTTTTTCAGTTCCTGCCTGTTTGATTGCTGCTTATTTCCTTGTTGTCTTTTCCACCAGGTGTGCTCTTTAGTATAGAAGTAACATCCACATACTTTGCTGTGAGAAACTACTGGAGAGGATACTTTGCTGCTACATTTAGTGCCTTCATATTCAGAGTGTTATCCGTGTTCAACAAAGATGCAGGTACTGGTTGGAGAAAAAGTTGTCATCATCATTTTGATACTTATTTTAATGTTGTATTGGTGTGTGAGATACTGGCCAATATTATGACATTTTCTCTTTGTCAAGCAAGCACTAGAGGGCACCCTTACTTCAAAAATGAAAAGGCACATCATTTATTTACCAAATTGACAATGCCCTCCTCTAATATGAAGCAGAGCAGTATTTTATTACCTGATATGGGTCACCCAAGGGTCCTGAAGGAATGTTTAAGTGACTGCTGTGATCAAAATTGAATGCGATGTTACTGTGTAATACACACTCAATCTATATATTAGTAGTAACAAGAATGTCACCAGCTATTTTATGCAATCTATAGTCATTACCACCAGACTGTCAACTCAAGTGTCATGTGTTCCTTGCATTACTTGACTGAATCAATCAAACTGTTACTGGCCCTAACCTCCGTTAAATATAAAGTGTTTGTCACAAAGGTAAATCTACATGACCTCTTCTACTAAATTGAATATATTCTCATAACTATTTTAAGGCAAATTAAACTGAATAAATAGTTTAGCGCACTCAATTTTAGTAAGTAAGAATGGTATGTTAGTTTATGATTTCGAACAGACCCACACTCACACTAGAATGACCTTGTAATGCAAGGAAGTTGATCAGTGCCTCAGTAATACAGAGATGATTGAAAATATTTGTTTAAATGCCCCTTTAAAAAAAATACGACGGCAGCCGCTGCTGTAAACCAATAACTATTGACAATTCTATTTAATAATAATTTTATAATATTTTAGTCAAAGTACCTATCCTGTACTAAAAAGTGATTGCGTGAATTTCCTCTCTCTTTTTTCTTGTTTTCCAGTAACCATCACTGCTCTGTTCAGGACAAACTTCCGCATGGATTTCCCTTTTGACCTGCAGGAGCTGCCTGCCTTCGCCATCATTGGGTGAGGGGCTGGATAATGGAGACAAGGGCGTTCATGGCAGCGTCTTTGTGTGTGTGCTTTATGCAAATGTAGCATTTAAAACATTGAGAATCCAATTAGTGGTTCACCGTTTACCTCAAGGGAGGAAATGGAGAGACGTGCTGTATAACACACAGGCATGAACAAATGAATTAACTTGGCTAATGTGGAGTTTATTTGTTTTGGCAGGATCTCCTGTGGGTTCTTGGGGGCGTTCTTCGTCTATCTCAACAGACAGGTGGTGCTGTTCATGAGACGCCCCAACGCCATGACACGCTTCCTCACCAAACAGTGAGTCTTTGCTCAAAACGCTTGATATACATTTTTACATTTGCTATAATTGAATTGGTTAAAGGATGCTTATGGTATAGGATTTGACTAGTTACGCACTTAATCTACATTGACTGATGCCAAATCAAAATTAAATATGAATTAATTATTGAGTTTATATACAGTATATTATATGCTTTAATATTATTGGCAGCTAATCCTAGGTTTATATACTGAATTTACAGTTTGCAGTATTTGTATCTATTAATTGCATTTTTCCTTGTAAATTTAGTGTTTGAGTCAAAAATGTTGTTCATGAGAAATAATCCCTTATTATTTACATTCAATTTTCTTCTGTTCCCCCCCAGCCGGCTGATTTTCCCTGCTGTGGTAACACTGGTCATCGCCACCCTGACCTTCCCACCTGGGTTTGGACAGTTCATGGCAGGAGAGGTCAGTACTCAGAGTCATTCAGACAGGGAGACCACAAGGAAGGACAATCTGTCGTCTTTTTGTCAGTTTATCAACATACAGCACCAGGAAATGCCACCCAAAGAAGCAATTATCAGGAGCTAGGGATGTCATGAAAAAAGTCAATACCACATTTCTGGACACAACACAGTACCTGGTTTGGTACATTACCGTAGGAGCTGTAGTGCGCTATGGGCTTGTGTCTAACTTTGAACTGAGGACTATAGAAATACATTGTGGAATTTCATTGGTATATCTACCAGTACATTTGTGTTATTTTGAAATTGTTTTAATGCAGAGTATGCCTGCTTTCAAACAATACAGATCAACGTTGTGCTGTCCAGTATCCATCTGCAGGCCATGATGAAAAATATCCAGAAAGCAAAATTACCAACATTATTATATATCATATTTTATGTTATTGGATTCCTTCAGTGTGAGGCATCATCACAGAGCTGTAGGCGTAATAAATATAAGCCTGCTGTGTTCAATTTACGGAAGCTACATCACAGGATCAAAGCCTATCGAAGTTCAAACTGTGACCTACCGGCTTCACAGGGAGACACCAACATGAACATTTACCTTGTGCAGCTTTGAGGGGAAAAACCACAATCTACAGGGCTGTTTTAACACGGTTTGCCGAAAGCCTCATTATTTTCAGTGTTTGGCAAAGTGTGACAACGAGCTAGATAAAGTGTGTCACCAAAATGATTCTAATAATTGGTATTAGGAAAGGAGCTGTAAGCTCTGCTGCTAAAGCAAGAACCACATCTATGCTTGAATATTCTGAGCACCATCAGCTTACTAATATGCATATGTGGCCTTACTGTGATGTCAGTGTCTGTGCTTATCCTTGATTGGATGGCTTGTTCCCTTTTTCGTGAACACCTGGAGTTTTAAGGTGAAAGCTCTTCCAGCTATAGTTATAGATAACCATGTGTAGGGCAGCCCAATTTGGAAAAGAGGATCTGCACCTCACAAAGTTGTTTTATTAAGTCAGTAGAATGCAGCACCACATTATTAAATTGAGAAATGTATCTTAACATATTTTGCCTTTTATCAAATACTTCCTGACATTTGAAAATTGCACTAGTCCATATAACGATTTTGATTGTCGATAAAATGTGCAGCTCCCACCTAGTATGAGCTAGGCGTTTGTCATTTGCTTTTGTAACTGCATGTGTATCTATCCGTGTGCATATGCCAGTCAGCGACACCTTAACATGTTTTTTCCCTTTCCCCTTGCCCTTAGTGCATATCTTTCACGCCCTTATTGTATAAACGTCGCACACCTTTTTATAACAGCATTGGCTGTTAAGTAAAGTGATACATTTAAAACATTTCAGTTAAGAAAAGTAATCCCACATATATTTTGGGAAATGAAATGCTTCCAATCCAACTTGATAGCACAGCGCAGAGTGACAGCAGCAGCGGCAGCTCAGAGAGAGGAGATTAAAAGCTACATGAGTTGTGAACCAGACGTGAACCCAGGACTTCAAAAAGGCGCAGGAAAGCCTATTATTACATCCAGCTCCGTCTAAGGCCCACAGCAGCCTTCCACAGAGCAGATCCTCAACATCTCCCTCTCACACACCGAGCCATCAATTCCAGGCTCTCCATTCAAGCGTAGCTCAAGGAGGAAGCAGAAGAAATGAAATGAAGTTGGCGTTGTGTGAAGCAGATGTGAGATGTACTGTGATTTGTGCCTGTGAGCGAGTCAGCGGCATCTATGCAAATGTGCTGCAAAACGCTGCAAAAGTGAATTAGTCATTCATGAGTCATCTAAAGAGAATGAGTCATTGGACACGGCCACCCGTACCCGTCTGCTTCCAGCTTTACGGATGACTTCCTGTCTGTTTGTCCCACTTGACTTTCTTCCTCCCTTCACTTATTTTTACTCTTTCTTTTCTCATACATTTCCTCCTTGCATTCTTTCTTCTCCTCTATGATTTCTTTGTATCACTCCTCTCTCTTTGGCTTCTTCTCCCAACTCTTCCTTACCCAACGCTTCCTCTCACATCCCTCCCTTATTTTCTTCTTTTGCTTCCACAACCTCTCTATTCCTCCCATCCTTCTCTATCACTCGCTCATCCCTGTCTTTCTCCTCTTCACTTCCTCTTTACTTATCATCTAATTCCCTCTCTAACCCCCCCCCCCCCTTCTCCCACTTTACCCTGTCCTTTTCCTTTATCCCCTTATTTGCCACTTCTCTCATCCATCCCATCCGCTTCTCCTTCCTCTCCTCCCCCTCTCCAGCTGATGCCAAGAGAGTGTATCAACTCCCTGTTTGACAACTTTACGTGGACAAAGATTTCGGGGTCTTCTCCTCCGGTGGGTCTGGGCCTCTCCGCCGCCTGGCTTCACCCTGACGTCAGCGTCTTCGTCATCCTGCTGCTCTTCCTGTTCATGAAGGTGTGTGGCTCGCTCAAAGTGTAGGCTTTTTTGCTGGATTGGATAGGGGTTGGTTTGATGGTCGAGTGTGTGTCATCGTTTAAGTGTGTGATTGTGTTTGGATTGGGAAAAAGTGTGAATGAGTGTACTTGGCTTTCTCCACCTGACGTAAGCATCGACGTCATCATCGTCCTCCTCTTCATTGGGTACATTTGTTGCAGGTCACTCATGTGGTGTGTGTGTGTGTGTGTGTGTGTGTGTGTGTGTGTGTGTGTGTGTGTGTGTGTGGGTGTGTGTGTGTGTGTGTGTGTGTGTGTGTGTGTGTGTGTGTGTGTGTGTGTGTGTGTGTGTGTGTGTGTGTGTGTGTGTGTGTGTGTGTGTGTGTGTGTGTGTGTGTGTGTGTGTGTGTGTGTGTGTGTGTGTGTGTGTGTGTGTGTGTGTGTGTGTGTGTGTGTGTGTGTGTGTGTGTGTGTGTGTGTGTGTGTGTGTGTGTGTGTGTGTGTGTGTGTGTGTGTGTGTGTGTGTGTGTGCCTTTGTCTTCCTCTTGTCTTTCTGGCCAAGGTCAACAGTTCTGGCAAGCTGCCAGCAGTTCTAGCAGTCTTGTGTTTTCTTGTAAGCAGCTGTGTACACACACACACACACACACACTGGACAATCACACATCCCTTCTATCTTAGTAGTTATCAGCAGTGACATGACCAGAATTATGGTGGAGGTTCTGGATTGAATGTGCATGCACACAGGGGGACAGATGACTACTAACAGACTAGGAACTACCCAAATACATGTTGATAACTGCCCCACGATAACAAAGCAGCTTCAATACTTTTAATAAGCAGCATATATCATTTTAAAAATAATAATAATAATAATTACATTTATTCATATAGCACCTTTGAAACATAGCTACAAAGTGCTTTGCCATAAAAATACACAAAGAGCAAGTGAACTAAACAATAGCATCTTAACATAGCAACACATAGAAAATAATAAAACAAAAATGCATATATTAAGAATAAATGACAAAAAAAAACATCACAAAAAAGCAAAAGTGACTTAAAAGGGCTGACAGATTTTGCAGCCCTGATCTCCTCAGGCAGGTTGTTAAAAAGTCCAGGAGCTCTGACAGCAAAGGCTCTGTCTCCTTTGTGTTTGAATCTGGACTTTGGAACGACCAGCAGCGATGCCTTTTAGGATCTCAGGGTGCGGGACTGGGCATAGGGCATTAACAGGTCAGATAGATAGCTTGTGGTGAGGCCTCGCGAAGCCTTACTAGTCAGCAATGGAATCTCAAATTGATTCTAAAAGCAACAGGTAGCCAATGCAAGGCGTGATCGGTGTGATATGGTTATATTTCCTGGACTGGGTTAAAATCCTTGCAGCAGAGTTTAGATGAGCTGGAGGCGGGAGAGGGATTTTTTTACTTATACCAGGAGGAGTCAATTGCAGTAATCTAATCTAATGGTGATGAAAGCATTGATGACAGTTTCAAGAGTTTAGATATTTGAATCTTTAAAGCAGCGTCAGTGAACTAACAGGTTGGAAGAGAACAAGCAGTGTCATAGAGCTTGTAGCCTCAGTAACTAAATCTAGCACGGACCGGTATATAAAATCAGGCAATTAACTGATATGAATATGGATAACCTGAGAGCTGTCTGGTGCCTTTGTACTGAACGTTCTCTTGTGTATTTATTGAGCATGTGGTAAGACCTAATGCCTCCCACTGAAGAGCTGCAACTGCCCACGCCCATACAATGAGTGGGTGGTGTCATTACCACCCAGACAATGTCAGTGCAGAGGACCTCATCTGAAAGAACTAGATGACAGTCCGACTGGAATTGAATAGAGCTGAGAATAATCAATAGATCCAAGATCACACACACAAAAAATGTGATTTTTCCAATATTGTCCAACTCATTTAGGCCAAATGGGGCGAAGCCTGCGAGCTAGTTCAGGCAGTCAACTCGAGCACCAATGATACATTAACACGTGACGCACCTTGTCCCTCTTACAACCAACCAACGCATTCTCCTAAACATGCCGCTCTATTTAAGCTGCCAGATCTGCCTGCCTCTGCCTCGCTATTGCTGCTGCTGCGTTTGTGCCCTGCTATTGCGTTCACATTGCTACTGCTGCTGTGTTTCATGTTGCTGCTGCTTGCCTGCCCCACCGCCACCCCAGTGGCTCGGGGGGATAGTTATCTATTCATCACTCAATGTTCTTTGTAAATCTGTGGAGTGATGAGGCCCGAGCCTGGACGCCAAACTCAAACTATATGCTGCTTCTGATAAACATATAAAGAAACACGTGAGTTGTCTGACTGAATTGCCAATATATGCAATCTTTTTTAAATATCCAATTGCACAGAGCATCAAGTCTCTCCTGTAGTGGAAGTATGATGCTTATTGTAATCATCGTTGCCCACTGGCAATGCTTTTCAAAATGCGTGCACATTTTTTCCTGGCCTCCTCCAACCTCAAAAAATATTTTCCTTCTGTGATGACAAACACATGTTCTCCTGGGTCCTATCTAATTTTGGACACACTGACAAACAAATGTTAGACGTGCAGGGACAAATAGCGGTACCCTACCAGACCCACATGAAGAGACGATAATTTGGCCTTTAATATTGGAAATGAATGGATCTGTGAAGACACCAAGACAGAATCATTTGGTAGATCTTACCTTCACTGAACATTTTTACATCTCATACCCAAGCTTAGTATGCAGGCGGTATAGCTGGTGGTTAATCCTTCTCCTCATTCAGTACCTACTTACAGTACGTTGTATTGACATCATTAAGAACTTGAAAATGCCGTTTTGTAAATGATTTAATAAAGCAGGATTGGACAACAACTCCAGCACTGTTTTAAGCCTCATGTTTGACATTTCATGTTTTAATGTCTTACGGTAAAGTAGTTAGCCTCTCACTGTTGCTAGGTCGTTACTGTTGTTAGGTTGTTACTGTTGTTACTGTTGTTAGGTTGTTACTGTTGTTAGGTCGTTACTGTTGTTAGGTCGTTACTGTTGCTAGGTCGTTACTGTTGCTAGGTCGTTACTGTTGTTAGGTCGTTACCGTTGTTAGGTCGTTACCGTTGTTAGGTCGTTACCGTTGTTAGGTCGTTACTGTTGTTAGGGTTGTTACTGTTGCTAGGTCGTTACTGTTGTTAGGTCGTTACCGTTGTTAGGTCGTTACTGTTGTTAGGTCGTTACTGTTGTTAGGGTTGTTACTGTTGTTAGGTCGTTACTGTTAGGGTTGTTAAGTTAAGTTTTATAATGGTTGGGAAAACCTTTCTGTTTATTTTAGCATCATGTTGGCTAAAATGTTGGTGACATTCTTCTGTATACAAACATACCATGCAATGTCAAGGTCAGCAAGAATGATCAAGGTCATGTCTTTTCTTTGTACAATATATTAATAAACCAATTATTGTGAGAGACCTAGTTGTCATCCAGTTCTAAAATACTGACCTACAGGGAAACAACAGTGTTGCCACCATCAGTTAGACTTGAAATGTAATCTAGACAGAAACACATGTCTCTAAAAATCAAAGCTGTTCTGAAGTCAAAAGGTAGCCCTCCCTGTGTTTAGCCTCCTGATATTCTAACTGTTTGTGTTCCTGTCAATCTGTCCTCCCCCGTATTGTTCCTCCTCTGTGACCAGAGCCTCTGAGTTCAAGTGATTCATGTATGAAAAACACAGTCAAACAGTGTCTGGTCTCTAAATACTGTGAGTCCTGACCCACAAACAGTCTGTTGGCTGCTGAAGGAACGGCACCAAGCTGTTGCTGCCTCATGTTTGAGGAAAATCTGCAGCTTCTCAAGAGCTCATGCAGAGCACAGTGAAGAAGTGAGAAACTGCAAGAGCAGATAAGATTCTCAGTCAATACAGAAGAAAACTGTTCAGAAGACATGGAAGCCACATTACACTCAATTCCATTTACACTCAAATGTGCTTGATGGTCTTTCTCAATGTCTGACTTACATGTTTTATTGGTCAGTGTTGTGAGTTTGAAGCTTAAGATATGATTAAAAACATTAAAAATGTTCTCCACTCTGTTATTGGAAATTCTATTTCCCTTTAAAGAGTCAATGCCGGCCTATTCTGTTTTTTGCATTGTCTACAGTTCATCTAGGCATAAATGCCACATAAATAATCCTATCAACAGGATATCAAAGTCTGTCACTCAGCTTCCTAGGCTGCATTAGTTTAGTCGTGGTGTTTCTCAATGAGCAGAGCGGCTCCCTGTAGTGAACACTTAATGTAACCAAAACTGAGAGCAGCTGGCTGTTAAAACTCTTTCACAGTACACACACAAACACACTCTTGATCTTCCTCTCCCCTGTGTTTATGGTTCTCTCTGGCTCTGATTTCCTTTTTCTCTCTCTTAGTCCACCACATAATTATACTTTTGAGTTTGTCTTCATTTAATTTAAACTGTCAAATGATGTGCTAGGCAGCTGCACTGTAATGAAGCAAAAAAGAATTACACATGCTGAATATAAGTGTACTTTTGTTTGAATTTCGGTAACATTTTTGTTAAATTAGCATTTTTTCCAGGTTGGAATGCAGACTCAGAAACCTGATGTGGTCTATATGCAGTCGAATGTATTGTAATCCAAACAATAGGAAGAAAACTTTCCATGAAAAACTCATAATTGACAATTTTGCAGAAAGTGGCAAAATATAACACGTAATTGAGTGTAATCAGAGTTAGCAATAGTTTAAATGTATAATGCACAACCTGATTTTTGGGCTCAAAATCAGGTTTTGACTAACAAACCAGGGTTGAAATATATATTATATTTATAAAAAAAACATAGGTACTTGATTGTGAAAGAAACATTTGAGAGTATTAGTTTATCAGATTATTTTGTCAAACCACATACAGTACACAGTATTTTTTCTGTATAGGAGTATAGATATACACTGTTGTTTTTATAGTTTATTTTTCCATGTTCAGGCAGCTTTTAAACATAAACCACAAGAAGCTTCTGTATTGGATAGATTTATCTGTCAAACGGTTACCTTTTTTTAGTGACCAATAAAGGTGAGTTGGAGCTTTAAGTTCAGTCCATATTATTATGCCTATAACTATTTGTACTTCTATCCCTTTATGGCACATTAACAGCACCTTGTCACTCCATCTCCAACTTGTCCTTTATCAAACAGTGATTTTACTAATCTATTTTAGGATTTCTGACACTGAATTGAAGTGTGTGCTGAAGGCCTGTGTGTGTTTGTGTGTGTTGTGTGTTTCTGCGTGACTGTGTTTGACTTTTGGGATTAACGGAGAGAAAAAGACTGTGAGTGCAGTCCTCTCTGCCATCAGGACGGCAGCCACCCTGTGAGAGACGCCGTAATGAGCTTTTATCTTGTACCACAGTAATTAAGTTCTCAAACGACGATGATAATCGATGTGTGTAGAATGGTAATCTGGACCGCTAAAATGCTAATGTCTCCCAATCCCTTCAAATCCAATTGAGTATGTTGTGCCGGGGACAGAAAGCTGGGGAGTCGTTCTCTCCGCCAAACATCCCAAGTGTTGGTAAAGGTAATCATTATCGCTGATGAGCTCTGCAGCCAAAAACAGAGGGTATTATTAAGGGAGCTATTTCAAAGGTACACTTTGATGAATACAGATATTGTTTGGAGACAAACACTGTAAGTAACATCTGAAGGGTGAGTTTATTTTAGAGAAGTACTAGTCATCAGCCTCCACTTCTGGGAGACAAGTTGAGCTACAGCACCATCCTCCGCAGCTTCAGTGCTGCAGCTGTTGAGTGCCTTGCTCAAGGACACCCAAGGGTGATTGGGTCCCCTCCACACAAACACACACACACACACACACACACACACACACACACACACCTTCCAGATTATCCACTTCTGTGGCTCATTAAGCTGTGACTAAATGAATGGATTGTTTTTCTCCCACTCAAACACAACCACGCAGAACAAAAGGTCTTAATAGCGCATGGACTTCATATCACTATGCAACACGAGCAATAAACTAATAAGCAATCCTACTAGTTTTAGGGCTGGGTAAGCTGCCGCAAGAAAATAGATCATATTGGAAATTAAAACATGGAAGAAGAACAAAAGCTTCCGACCTGTTTGCTCTTTAAGAAATCACAGCATTGATTGAGACTTGTTTTCACGCTGACTGTGGAGCAATTTGACATCTTGTCAGCCACATTAACATGCCTAGAATGCAGAACACATAGTTTGGTCACATCATGCTTTTCCCCAAATGTTTATAAACAAACAATCAAAAAACGAAGCGCAGCATTTCCCCTATACGTTTACTAGTGTTTCAAATTCAAAAGTGGGAAATGCCATTGTATTTTCAGTCTGCAGCCGTAGGGGAAAGCCTTGAATACTCATATTTAAATCAAACGATGAGTTGATGAGTATGAGTATGTTGATCTGAAGTTAATTTGAGGCTGCACACTTTGGTTTTATTGTTTTCCATCAACAGCTCCTATTTTGTTCTCTTTAACATGTTGTATGATTTTGTGTTGCAGTTCTGGATGTCTGCTGTGGCCACCGCCATGCCCATTCCATCTGGGGCATTCATGCCTGTCTTCATACTGGGTGAGAATTTACACCTATAAGCTTTAAATGAAGCAAGGTTTGTGTGGGTGGTTATTAAATGATAATACATTTCGGTATCAATAATTTGATAGCTTTCATTTGCACGTTTTTGCCCATTAGTAGCCAGTTAACGGCATTTTTCAATTGATTGAGCTGCCTGCAAATCAGTTATATTTCAAAATACTGTTTTTATGGAATCACAGTCGTTGATTTATTATCTTTCCCCTGAGATATTACGCTCTTATTATTCAGATCAACATTTTAGGAATCTGTTTATTTGCAGTTCATCTGTTGTTTTTGTAGTGACCTTTACACATACTTCACTTTAAATTATTCATCATTACAAGCTGCAAACAACTTGAAATGGATCAATTCAGCTCCAGATAGGCAGTGTCATGTTTTGTGTGTGCTATTCATCACGCAAAACAACAGCAAACAGTTTCCAAACATGCAAATGAGACCATTACATCGGCTTCATGAAAAATGAACGAGCAAGATAGTTTCTTAACAGACAAGTCTCTCTGACTAATGATGTTTTGGCCATTATCATGTTGGAATGATTTCTTTAATCAGCCTTGTCACCATCTGCTCCCACAACAAACACTGATGACTTGAAGTCTGTTTGCTCTGGAAAGAAAACTGTTTAGAGATGAACGGAGGCTGACAATCTTAATAATTGTTTTCCACATGTAACAGATTACCTTGCTACATTACATATATTTAATTTAAAATGCCACTTCAAGGTCATAGGCCCAAATCCAAACGGACCCCTTCACCCCCCCCCCCCTCATAAATAATACAAAATGAAACTTGAACACACTAATGTATTATTTTTGAAGTCACACATATTGAAGTTCACTGATCTGGTTAAATTTAAAACGGCACAAATCATGTACAGAGCAAGACATAATCTACTTCTGAGGAAATTAAAAACATTGTTCATAGACCGAGAGGGTGGGTATCATTTGAGAGGAAATCTACATTTTAAACAACTCAAGGTCAGAACAACTGAGAAGTATGAGTATAACAATCTGTGGGGTGATTTTATGGAATGGTTTGGAGCAGGAGTTAAAACAAAGCACAAGCATAATTCAGTTTAAAAGGATGTACAGAAACACTTTTCTGGAAAACTATGAGAATGAAGAGAGGTGATTGAAGATGAGAAATTATTGTATATGTATGTATAAATGTAAATGTAAGTAGGAATAACTTGCACAATGACTTAAAGGACAATCATTGATCAAGTAAGGGGTGGGAATTAATAAGCATTTGCTTCCTCCTACTCCCTTTCGGACACATATGATTTATTTTTTAATTTTTTAATTATTATTATTATTATTATTAATATGAAGATTTTTTTTGTTGAATATATAAATATTATCGTGAATGTGGATAAATACTGTATTTTAACAATACGGTATTCTGTTTTTTCACATTTGTTATTTTTTATTTGTTATTTTTTTAATCTGTTCGAAATAAAGATTGAAATGAAATGAAATGAAATGAAACTAAAGTGGCAATTCTTATTTTTTGATAATCTCTTGTTGTTTTTAAATCTTATCTTATGAGCTGTTTTTGTAACGTCTCTGTAAATATACAAAACTTTACAATCAGATGCACAACTGTACTGTTTTGGAGACTAGACATGGTTATACATAATAAATAAATCATCAATTATTAACATCAGTATGAAAGCATAACATTGTTGTGTGTGTTTTGTGTGGTTTAGCCTAATTGTTTGATGTTGAAAGTACATTAACTTGTATCTGTTTGAAAGGTTACCTTCTTCACTTTTCTCTGGTCTTGTAGGAGCTGCATTCGGCAGGCTGGTGGGAGAGATCATGGCCACACTGTTTCCTCATGGGATTGTGTTCGATGGCATCCTTTACCGCATCATCCCAGGAGGGTACGCAGTCATTGGTTAGTCTCCCTTTCCACCTCCTAGCAATTCACTTATTTCAAAAAAACATATTAATCAAAGCTGTCTGCCTCATCTATTGCAAAAATGGATAAAAAGCCAATCTTCAAATGATGAAACAAACACCCGTTTGATACTCCTGAGTGCACACAAAAACATTAAACAAATACAGATATGTTATTGAAAATCACCCCTCGAACAGTTATTTGTTATGAAATGTATTCTCATAAATTCAGAAGGACAGAATTACGCTTAAACTGATGGCGTTTGGCATTTCTATAGGTTGTATAGATACGTGTGCATGATTTGATATACTATATACAGTAATTATGCACTGGAAGCAGTGGAGACGCAGGTGATTGACAGCCGTAAGACGAACCACGAAATAAATGGATTTTGTTTTTGTACACAGTCCCAACTGTTTGTACATACATGTGCTAACCCAGCTTGATTGCACTTTGCTTACTATCATTTCTTAAAAGGGTAGAATATTGCGTTACATCTGAGTTATCCTGTGCATCCCCCGCCCCCGCCCCCCCCCCCCTGTCATGACTCCACTAGAGAGGGATTCCCCGATCATCTCTGAAAGTTTCTCATCAAGGGGGGGGGGGGGGGCTGGGGGGGGCTGTCCCTGGCCTGTGGCCCGTGGCACAAACACACGCATTATTTTGGTGACGATCTGACCTTCTTGCCGTTCACAGCGTGCTCCACATGCTGCAACTCTTTATCTGCCTCTACCAAACAATATTATTAACTTGGCTCAACCGCCCCAACAAGAACCAAAGTATTACACGTTATGGAATGGGTTTTTTAAGCTGTTCTGTCGGCATTTCCTACTTTCTTCTTCATGCAGTCAGTCGAAAGGAATATTAATATGTGGTCGTTTCACTGACTATTTATAGGCAAATATGGGCGTTACGCTTGTTATCAAGTTGTCCTCCCCTCCTTATCTTCCTCGTCTCCCTCCCTTTTCTTTCCACCCTTCCTCTCCCTCCTCTCCATCAGAGCATGTGGCCACTTTGTTCTGACAGTTAAATGTCACTGTGGGTTCCCTCCGCCGTCCTCACCTCAGCCGCCGACCCAGAAAGGTTGCCTTCCTTCAATCTCCCTCTCTTCCCACTTAGTCCTTTGTTTCATCCTTTTTTTTATCCTTTTTTATGTTCTCCTACTCGCTCTTCAGTATTCTTCTCTTGAACTTTGTTTCCTTCCCCTCTCAAACCTTCTCATTTGCTTCCCTTTCATTGCTTCCTCACTGCCTTTCCACCTAATTTCTCTGTACTCCCTCTCCTTTCTATCCATCCTTCACCCACTCCCTCCCCTCCTCACCCCATCCCATATCTCTGACAGGAGCGGCAGCTTTGACCGGGGCTGTGACTCACACGGTGTCCACGGCGGTGATCTGCTTTGAGCTGACAGGTCAGATCTCCCACATCCTGCCCATGATGGTGGCAGTAATCCTGGCCAACATGGTGGCCCAGGGCCTGCAGCCCTCCCTGTACGACTCCATCATCCAGGTCAAGAAGCTGCCGTACCTGCCGGAGCTCGGCTTCGGACACATGAGGTGCGTGAGGAGTTTAGATTAAAAAAGGGTTGTTTCAAATGTTTCAAATGTGTGCTATGTCAAGAAGTAAGGATTTTTTCCCATTTACAATTTCATATCAAAAAACGTCTGTCCTTCCAAGTATACGGTAAAAGTCAATTTGCTTGTGCACTGCTTGTGTGTTTACAAGTTGTTTGAGTGGACAACCGTGTGTCTGTCCTACAGCCAGTACAACATCTTTGTAGAAGACATCATGGTGAGAAGGGTGAAGTTTATTTCATCTCAGTCCTCGTACAGAGAAGTCAAACATCTGCTGGACTCCTCCTCAATCAATTCAATCCCACTGGTCGACTCAAAAGGTAAAAGTTCATTGTAAACGGAACTACCATAATACAAAATGAAATGAAAATATGTATTTTGTTACATCTAATATGCGCTGTATAGTAAATATCATCTAAACACTAATCTACAGAACCAAATATTTAACTTAGTTGAACTCACTTCATGTTTTTAAAGAATATTTTTGAGCATGGCAGTTTTGCCACTGTTGAATTTAGTGTGGTTATAATTATTCCTCTTCCTGCTTCTAGACTCTATGATCCTATTGGGCAGCATTGACAGGTTGGAGCTCCTCGCTCTCTGTGATTGGTGGTTATCGCCAGAGAGAAGACTCCTGATGCAGGTAAGGTAAACATTAACATAATAATGCTTAGTCAAATTAATCTTCTACTTTGTTGCATCTGTGCTTTGTCTCAGGCTAAATTTGAGTATGCAGATATCCAGATATAAAAGTAATTGATAATGCAATGATCAGCTAAACGTTTTACCTACTTATCAATTATTAAACATTTCTATGATGGTTATATGACAAAAAAGAACTTCAAAAATCCTTAATAGGATCTTAACCTACCCTTAGACCTGTAATTTGGATAAAGGAAACATCTATAAAAGGAAACCCTATTTAGAGTAATTGAATATGACTGTATTGTATATCGTTTGTCAAATGTCCATCATGTGGCTCCTTTGATCTGGTGATAGACCATAGGAGCATCATTTAGTGTAAGCAAATGTGTTGTGCTGGCTGAAAGGCCTTTGTAACATGAGGAGGAAATGTGCATACTGTACTGTGTTTCATCTAAGAATCCCAAATGGGGTAAACATAAAACAAGAGGGAGGCAGTACAACTGGAAATAAATCAGGGTGTTAAACAGAGTAATAGTTTTGTATTCACACTGCTGATGCAGTCTGTATTGATCTGTTTTCCTGGGTGTGTGTTCAGGGTCAGAGCATACAGGAGCAGAACCAGTCCCAGGAGCACAGCTGGGAGTCCTTCGCCTATGTAGATGAGGAGGAAGAGGAGGAAGAGGAGGACGGAGAGAAGGTGGGGCTCTGATGTGCTACAATCCTTGTTAAGCCATAAGTTTGGTTTTAGTACACACCATTTTTTTGTATTTTACTCATTGATAAATAAAACACTATTATTTTACCATTTATTTTGAAAGGACATTTATTAAAAATGGCTACTTTGTAACATTTACTTGTGGTGTGCAGGGCAGCCCGGTGCAGGAGGAGAGGAACGGCCCCCTGCCCCCCCCCCAAGCCTCACGAGCCGTCCTCCAACCACACTGCTCCTGTCCCTGGTGAGCTGAGAGGACTTCAGATTCCTGAGTACATTTGTAGTTGATATCTCAGTGATATACTAACTAGTTATTCTTTATGTCTGCACAAGATATTTCTGGATAGATATGTTATAATCAGAGATGGGGTCGTTACTAAAAAAAAGTAATATATTACATATTACATATTACTTTAAAAAAAAGTAATATATTACACTACTTCGTTACTCTCTACATAAAGTAACTCGTTACTTTACTCGTTACTTTACTCGTTACTTTACTCGTTACTTTACTCGTTACTTTACTCGCAGGGCCGGCCAGCCCCTCCCTGCAGGCAGATCACGCAGACTGCTAAAGTTTCAAATGTTCTCTTTAGTTCAGTTTCCATTGTCGCATAAGACTGATCCAGATAGCTCTGACCATGGCTGTCCTCTGTCTCCTGCTATCTGTATTTTGCGCAGTATATCTCTGAACGATGCGATGGTGATTCCACTGTGCAAATGGGCAACATTACCTCTACTATGAAGGATGCTACAAGCCTGTCCATCTCTGCTTTGGTTACCGGTCCTCCAAATTCTTGCGGCGGCGCACTCACAACATCCTCCTCACTCTGGGTTCGGGGGTCCTTAGCTATTAGCTTCACCTTAGCATGTGTTCTTTGCAGGTGTTTGTTGAGGTTTGACGTGGTGTTTACAGCAGTGGATAACAGCTTCTGGCCTGGACACAGTTTGCACCTCACCGTCACATTCCTGTCTATTCTTCGGACGAACTCAAAATAATGGGCATACCTCCACCCCTCGAAAGTTATCGCTGACTCTGCCATGTTTATGCAGCACTGCACGCGGAGATGTGGACGCGCAAGTCACGCAGATTACGTACATATAAACCTGCGGCGGAAACCCCTCTTGTCTGTCAGTGTGATTATGACTGATTTTATAAAAGTAACGAAGTAACGCGTGTCGGGGCAATGTTAGTAACTGTAGTGTGATTACTGAATTATAAAAGTAACGCGTTACACTACTCCGTTACCGACAAAAGTAATATTATTACAGTAACGCGTTACTTTGTAACGCGTTACACCCAACTCTGGTTATAATGTTATTACCGTTTGGACAACTTTCTGTAGGTTAGCAGAGAATAAAGAGCTTACTAGGTCACAGTGGAGAACCGTGTCTATCACAACTGGACCTTCTGTAGACACACACACACCCCCCGCCGCCACCCGTTAAGATCTTAACTAGTAAAAAATAGGGCTGGCAGATATATGTTTATTATATCTATATTCTGATATGAGGATATAGTGGGATTTTGGATATTGTTATATTGTTTTATGGCACAAGTGTTGTCTTTACCTGGTTAGTTATGGACGGAAGTTATGTAATTCTCTCTAGCCCTTGCTACTCAGACCCCAGACCTGAACTGGCCTGGGAGGCACAGACCTAACGGGCACTCATTTCATAGCTGATTGCAATTAACAAGTTGAATTAGATGCCAAAACAAAACATTTGATTTACCTATTGTCCCCTTTTTCTAGTCCTACAGCATATAATCCATTATCCTTGCCAAGAAAAAAGGCAACATTCATCTTTGCAATTTTGTTGATCTATACCCATAAACGTACTGTAGCTTTGACAGTTGGTCTATTTGACCCATAATAACAATAACTTTCTGCCACCACTGCTAATCTTAGCATTGCTAGGTTGCTATTAACTCTGCTCCTTGAGTTTGTTCACTGCTCTCTGAATACACTCACACACAAACACACACACAACACTTCCGACATGATCAGTGCTGCTGTCTGATCACAGCCTGGTCTGCATGGATCCACTCGGGTATTACATTACATTGCATTTAGCTGACGCTCTATCCAAAGCGACTTACAATAATTGCATTCGACCAACAAGATACAAACTTGAAGAAAACAGAATCATATAAGTACATCAGGTTTCATAGAGCTAAAACATTTCAAGTGCTACTCAACTGGCTTTAGATAAGCCAGTCCTTTATTAGTATATAAGTGCTTTGTTAGCAATTCTTTGTTAGTGCTTCGATCGCTCGAAGCGGAGTCGAAAGAGATGAGTTTTCAGATGTGCACGCTATCTGCTGTCCTGATTTCAATGGGGAGCTCATTCCACCATTTTGGAGCTAGGATAGCAAACCGACATGTTTTTGCTGATGGGAACTTGCAGTGCGGGTGCAGCGAGCCGTTTGGCCGATGCAGAGCGGAGTGCACGTGCTGGGGTGTACAGTTTAACCATGTCCTGGATGTAGGAAGGGCCAGATCCATTCACAGCATGGTACGCAAGTACCATTGTCTTGAAGTGGATTCTAGCAGTTACTGGAAGCCAGTGAAGTGAGCGGAGGAGCGGCGTGGTGTGGGAACATTTTGGAAGGTTGAAGACCAGGCGAGCCGCTGCATTCTGGATGAGCTGCAGAGGTCGGATGGCACATGCAGGTAGACCAGCCAGGAGGGAGTTGCAGTAGTCTAGGCGTGAGATGATGAGAGCCTGGACCAGAAGCTGTGTCGCTTTCTGGGTCAGGAGGGGACGTATCCTCCTGATGTTGTAAAGCGTGTATCTGCAGCAGCGGGTTGTAGCAGCGATGTTTGCAGTGAAGGACAGTTTGTTATCTAGGGTCACACCCAGATTCCTTGCAGTCTGAGTCGGGGAAACAACAGAGGTGCCGATGTTGATTGTTAGGTCAAGAGTGGAACAATCTTTTCCCGGAAGGAAAAGCAGTTCAGTCTTGTCAAGGTTGAGCTTGAGGTGGTGAGCAGACATCCACTGAGAGATGTCAGCTAGACAAGCAGAGATGCGTGCGACGACCTGGGTCTCTGAGCGGGGAAAGGACAGAATTAATTGGGTGTCGTCAGCGTAGCAGTGGTATGAAAAACCATGCAGGCTAATGACAGATCCGAGCGAGTTTGTGTACAGGGAGAAGAGAAGGGGACCAAGAACAGAGCCCTGAGGGACCCCTGTAGTTAATTGACACGGGTCGGACTCGGACCCTCTCCAAGTTACCTTGTAGGTACGGTCTTTGAGGTATGAGGTGAGGAGGGAAAGTGCAGAGCCTGAAACTCCAAATTCTTGGAGAGTGCGAAGGAGGATCTGATGGTTCACCGTGTCGAATGCAGCTGACAGGTCCAAAAGGATGATGACAGAGGAGAGGGAGGCTGCTTTAGCCGTGTGCAGTTCCTCAGAGACAGCAAGGAGAGCAGTTTCTGTGGAGTGACCTGCCTTGAAAACCAGACTGGTGCGGATCCAGAAGGTTGTTCTGATGGAGATAACAGGAGAGTTGTTTAAAGACAGCGCGTTCAAGTGTTTTAGACAGGAACGGGAGGAGAGAGACAGGCCTGTAGTTTATAACATCGGACGGGTTGAGAGTGGGTTTCTTTAGGAGAGGGTTTACTCTTGCCTCCTTGAGACTGTTTGGAAAGTGACCAGAAGTTAGAGAAGTGTTGATGAAATGGGTGAGAAACGGTAGAATATCAGGAGCGATAGTCTGAAGGAGGTTTGAGGGGATAGGGTCCAGAGGACAGGTGGTAGGACGGGCAGAGGTAATGAGGGTAAGAACCTCACTTGGAGAGAGAGGGGAAAAGGAGGTTATTGTGTGGGTGAAAGGTAGGTCTGGTGACCCAGCGGTGAGTAAAGGTGAGTCAGAAAAAGAAGAGCGAATATCATCAACCTTTTTTTCAAAGTAGTTAACAAAGTCGCTTGGAAGAAGGGAGGAGGGGGAAGGGGCTTATTACACATCAATGTGTATCGTTAAACTGGTACGGGACCTGACACAGACCCATTTAACTGCATATACCATGGATCTGAACCTGAACAAGAGAGAGGCAAGGATCATTGGTCTCAGGGTTTGGTTGGACCCATTTGTTCTTTGGAGAACAAACACGTTTTCTGCTCTCTCTTCCTTTGCTCCATTACAGCCGTCTGACATGAAGTCAAGGCTGTGCAATGAAAGCGTTATGGGGCTTGTCATAGTAATTTGTATTCCTTCAGACAAGTTTTGCTTACTAGGGTGATGCAATGAGCTTTATTTTTTGCTCTGTCTCTCCTACTTCTCCTCAGGAAAATAATTTGTTAACATGTATGACTCAGCATTTACTCTGAACCCAGATGGGGTATAAAGCTCACCAGCTTCTAATATGTGTTAAGTACATCTGTGCCGAAAGTACAATGGAACATTTTGTCAGCGCTTACGAACTATGAAAGAAAAGACCATGGGAACAAATATAGGAAAAGGAACAGTGTTATTTTATCATATCTGTAGCCATTTAATACATGTTTTGATTTGTTCTGACCGTAACACTGTGTTAAGTGAGATTAAGATAGAGGATTTGTTTGCCTTTATTACAAAGTAAGGCCAATGATAGACGAAAAGGTGGACAGAGGGGGGGCGACATGCAGCAAAGGGGTTGAATTTGGTTTGGCAGCATGTTTAATGCAAATAAACAGATGCCATGTGTGTATCTATCTTGGTACAGAAAACATCTCGGTAGCCGCTCACACACAACAGTCTCCAAGTGAAACGGTATCCAGGCAACAACAATAGGGAGTTGCATGGGTCGTGGCAGACTCCATCTGCAGTTATGGATGGTTATTTCCCTCTTCAGCTTGAAGTCTGTCAAAAAGCTGCAGCTGTTCAGATTTCCGACCTTCACCCACTGACTGCATCTCTCTCTCTCTCTCTCTCTCTCTCTCTCTCTCTCTCTCTCTCTCTCTCTCTCTCTCTCTCTCTCTCTCTCTCTCTCTCTGCCAGAGAAAGGTCCTCTCCAGTCTGTGAGGAAAACACTCAGGAACCTCTTCACCTCTAAGAGCAGACAGACCGAAGGACAGTCGCAGGTGTGTTTATGCATGTGTTATGTTGCATCTGTCCATTCCTAGGAATAACTGGGCGTGAATTTATACAACAGCTCAGTCATTTCCAACTGGTGGTACCCAAGAGCCTTGTTAAAATAAAACAGTTGCACTCCAACTGGCAAAAATCCTTAATTAAAAAAACAATCACATTGCCAGGATCTACTGTCTGATGGTTGGGGTAAATAGCAACGGCTTGCAATATCTCTTTGATTGCAATTGTGTTGGTATCTGAAGTGGTACTTGGTAAATTGGGTTTGGTACATAGGGATACTTTGATCAAAGTTTGGAAACCTCTTCAATAGAGTCTGTTACTACTCTGTCATCTTGCTCACAAACATCTCTATTTTTTTGTTAAGCCAACTATGAAGACATTTGTAGAGAAATATTGTTTTCCTTAATGAGCCATTGAAATGCAAATCGCCACCCACCCCTTAAGAAAAGCCATCCCACATGCTCACGCTGACACTGATAGGGATATCAATATTTATCCAAGGCAGAAAGACACTTATCTGATTGACGGACCACGCATACATACACAACTGCTTCCTCATCCACAGTCAAACTCCCCGAAGTGGAGCACCACCTTCTCATATGGAAATGGGGAAGCCAGATACTGGAGGTGGAGTTATTATTCAGCTTGGCGGTGAGCCTGGCTCACGGGGGAAGCAATACATGTCATCTATTTACACAAGCAGGAATAAAAAACACATTAGAAATAAGCATATGCGTGTAAGCTTGCAAGATTAGAATTAGATTCCTGTGCCTACTGCTGTGCCTTGTGTATTACCAGTCTGATTTTCTATTATGTTTTTGGATGCAATCCTATTCCTGCATGGGAATTGTTTATACAGCAGCTCTACAGACCTGAATATCAAATAGACACACAGTAGGAAATGAAGCCAAACCGTGGCTGAATTCTGCTGGTGAATCAGGTATTTGTCTACTTTCCCAGCCTCTAATGGCAGGTAACCAGCTACTGACCTTTAGAATATTATCTGGCTGGTGTAGTATTGTCAGCATCTTGTTAATTTATTAGTACAATGGCTGTGGTTGCAGTGATAAACTCAACAATTGTAATACAGCTACACAGAATGCAATTAGTGATTTGTACAGGTTAGATAAACATAACAAGGGACTTTGTAAACATTTCAAACCTTTGAAACAATGCTTGTCTATTTGGTTGGTTGATAAAAAAGAAAGCTCCCCCCGCTTTCGGCTATAGAAACCTCACACTTATTTTGTGTTGGTGTTTAACGAGCAGTAGCAGCCAATCTGCCATGACAGTGAGTAGATGAGGGACCTATTGCTCATAAATGTAGTTTTACAGAACAAGTCACAGCAGGTGTTGGCCTGAATTTCGCCTACAGCTTACTCACAGAGCATCTGTGCTGTGGGAGTGATGCCCTGAAGAAAACCTGACGAAAGCAACCTGATTACAATCAATGTGTTACTGCATGTTGTCATCATTGCTGTGAAAGAGACATTAAATCCAATTCAAGATATGTCTAGATCAAATATGGTTCTGAGTATAGGAAAAGTAGTTATTGTTTCTGCAGACGGTTAAATCACAGGTGAAAGTGTTTCATACATCTAAGAGTAAATGTTGATTAAACAAATTGTATAACTGAGCTGAAGTTATAGAAACACATTGTGCTTTGAGTTACTTTCCCTTTGCTCCCCTAATGTAAGGTTCAGGTTTTTCATTTTAAAGATGAAATCTAGCCAGGTCCACATTTACAGAAGTCTGTCAAATTGTTCACCAACATTTCATCTTATATCTGTTTCTTCCTTGTAATTGTCCCCAGGAGCCCTGTCCTGCTCCCCTGTCAGACCCAATGACACCATACGAGGTATGGTGATGATGGAGGGCCGGGTGATTTGCATGGTTTTACACAAAAGTCTGATAATTGATTGCAGAGTGGTGATCAAATACTCACACAACCTTCCAGTTGTCTCGCTTGTCCCAGGTTGGCAGCAGAAAGCTCAAAGACGGAATCATGCAATAAAAAAACAATCCAGATAACATTATCTACTGGACGCACTGGCACATGATTGGCGCATGGTGTTAAATAATCAACCCGCATGCTGATGAAAAGTTTAAGTTGAATACCCTAGTTTTGCATTTATGTAGATTTATGTTGTGATTCTTAGTCCTTATATGTGCTGAATCGGAAGAAAAAAATGTTTCCTTTATCTGTCCGCAATGTGAACTGATATTTAAAATCTATTTGCAACGTAACAAAAACAATTTTATTTAGTTTTTCTCCATTAACTCATTATGAATTCACTGCTGGCAAATCCATTTCAATCTATTCACATGTAGGTCACAGGTTTTAGAGATGTGTCACATTTGAGGAGACGACTCAGAATTGGGGCACTTTTTAACTGCACTGTGAACGCAGCCAGAATCTTAAATGAGACATCTGTGTTCATTGGAGAGCACAACAACATTACTGCGTCCTCCGAGTCCTGCTCTGTCAGCTGCTCTCCGTTTACCCCGCCTGGCTCTTTCCCAAAAGGCCCCCATAGCTTCAGCCTGTACATTCTACAGGACTGCTGCCCTGTCACATCAGGCACAGGCTGCTAGGTAATCCATAGAGAGGCTAATAGGGCTGTCTGACATCCTAAATCTCAGAGGGGAGACCGGTGACATGCAAGGACAGAACACCAGGTTTCAAGGTCGTTCACAGCTGTTTACCTCCCCTCCTGCACACCTTCACTTTTACATCAACAGTGGACATGGATATGACCCGTGGTGGAAAGTAACTGAGTACATACTTGTTGTGATTAATTGCTTTATGCTTCTTCCTCACCACGTTTTAGAAGCATTTATTCTACTTTTTACTATTTATTTAACCAGCTACTTTTAACATAATAAACACTTAACTTTCTTATGTATTCAATGAAGCAGTACTGTACTACCAATATACCCAGTATTTATGAAATACAATTATATAAAAGTGTCTCGACATTACAGCATGTAAATGCTTTTACACATTTAGCTGATAAATCTGCTGCCTAAGTAAAATGTTGAATTCAGGACTTTTTCTTGTATTGGAGTATTTTCAGAATAAAGTATTTCTTCTTTTACTTAAGTTAAATATCTGAGTACTTCTTCCACCTCTGGCTATTACCCATCATTCACACAAATCCTGATATTTCCCTCTGACTGTAATAAAACATTTGAGTATAAGTTGAGGAGTTTTTGCCGTCATGAGAGCAGCTCTGAACTGAAGCCACGAAGCTCCGCCTCTGTTGACCTTCTTCTTGTTTCTGCTGCAGATCACGGTGTGGGAAGAGGAGGAGATGGACAAGCCGATGGAAATCGATGAGATACGAATAGACCCCTCCCCTTTCCAGCTGGTCGAGAGAACATCATTACACAAGGTTGGAAAGGAACAGGTGTCACAAAGATGATTAGAAATCCCAAGTTTGACAAATGAAATAAACCAAAACATAACTTCTTTGGTGGAGATAATTATATGAGTATAAACATTATTTAACAAAATGTACATAGATTAATTAGTTTGGTAGTAAATCTGTCATAATAAGCAATTCACCAACAAAGGAAAATGTCCTTTTCTATTTTGTTCATATTGACTTAAAGGTGATTTGAAGGTTATTTTCTCTCATTGCTCTCCATTGTATCACTTTAATGAATTTGCTGCTGAAATTAAGATTGATTCATGTTTTAGTGTATGAAACGCTCGCTGACTTAAATCTTCCCTTGTGCACACCAAGCCTCACTTTCATCAGCTCATGTTTTTGGGACCTGCTCGTCTGTTGTAGTTGCCATGTAATAAGTTATTGGATGGATAGTCCAGCTGAATTGTATGTACATTTGTCAAGAGTTATTTTTCTGTCACAGGTATTATATAATCAAAGTGTATATATAGAGTACATGGAGTTCTGCTCCTCAGGCAGCAACAAGTCTTTTGTTGATGCTCCCACACTCTGCTCCTCAAGTTGTTTAATTCTTACTTCTCTTTCGGCTGCGGATGTGGAAAACCTTGACTTTGAAAGGGAAGTGCTACATGAAAAACAGTAAAGACTGAACAGCTAAAAGATCAACATTTACATTTTTGAACAAAGAACCACACATTTTTACAGTAGGCAGTAGGCGGATGGGTTGTTACATAAACATTCAACATTTTTTCGGTGGGAGTTGTGCCTGACGGTTATGGATGAAGTACGTTTTCAGTGATTAATCTACATTGTGAGGAAACGTTTTTTTAACCATTGTCCCTGCCAGAGGCGTGAAGGAAAGAAACAAGCACCTGTTATACTTCACAATTCATTTACTCCCTGATCAGTGCAAACACAGATTAGGCATAGTGAGCGTCTTGCTCCATCACCGCTCAGCAATAGGTTTGGGCACAATATTGATTATTCAGTTACTCAAATGTAAACAAAAGTATTGTTTTTCAGATGTTTATATTAGTAAACTAAATACCTCTGGTTTTAGACTGTAAGTCAATAAAAGCAATTCTAAACATGTCAACCTCTGGATCCAAATAGCACTGTAGTTATGCTAACCAATTGTTCACTAAATGTTCTTAGATCGCTTGGCATTTACGAGAAATTCCTGTCAGCATTTTGATCATATTTAAATTTTCAACAAAACTGCATGACAGTTCTTTAGAATGGAGATACTTTCAGAGCTATTCTGTGCCACCAGAGTTCAGATGTTAGTTATTCTATTTACCAAAGAAGCATGCTCAGTTGTGTCTGTATCTGCGTGGTTGAGCTTTCCACATTGGGGATTTTAACAATATATAATCTAATGTCAAAAATGTAAAATATGCCGAACATTGGGAGCCTTTACATGCGCACCATTCCAATGATAGGAATTATTATTCATTTTTTCCTTCGTTATACAATCAATGTGAAATGCTAACAATGTCATAATGACACATCTGAGGGCGATGAAGGATTCGCAGAAAGCGTGAAAGAGATTGTGATATTGCTGTGAGTGGTTTTTCATCAGTGTGATTTAGCTCTCCAGTTAATAACCAGAATATGATTGCGCAAAAGGAGGCGTTGTAATTGAAGTTTGCTGATTCACAGTGGTGAAAGATGTCCTCTGATCTTGTGTTCAATAAAAAGTAGCTATACCACAGTTTAGGATTTCTCTCTTACAAGTAAGTAAAGAACTTAAAAATTGTACTTGAGTTTATGTACTTATGTAAGTTACATTACAATATTAGGTCATACAAAGTGCGACCTTAGCCAGAATATGCAGAGTTCTTTGAGCACTGAAACACACTCGGGGACTTTTTCTTTCCCCGGTTCGTTCGGAGCCGTTAGCTTTCATCTTTCATGTTAATGTCTGGAGTTACAGAGAGAGTCAAAAGGCTGTCCTGGTCTGAGAGGTAAAAATCTACATTTGTCCTAACGTGACCTTCCTCTCCACAGACCCACACCCTGTTCTCACTGCTGGGGCTCAGTCACGCCTATGTGACCAGTATTGGCAAACTGGTGGGAGTGGTGGCACTTAAAGAGGTAAGAAACTTTTATTGCTGTCTATGTTTTTTTATTCTTTCTAAACACTATCTGATGACTGAACCAAAAGCAAGCAGTAAAGTTGATTAAACCCCCATCGATCTCAGTCCAGAAAGCCTTCTTCCTTTTAATTCACTCAACATTTAAAAAGCTTCCTTTGACTTTGATGAGTCCAATTGGCATTCGCTACTAATTTACTCTGAGTTTCATAAAGCTTTGTGTTAGCATAATCAATATCCTCTCTAGATGACTCAGGGTTTCTTTGATCTACTCCACTCCTTCTGTCTTTCCCCCTTTTTGTCTCCGTCTCACTCCTCTGTTCCTAAACCTTATTTTATTTTACTTTTCTTCTTCACTTTAGATATCCTTTCATCCTTTAACTTACCTCTTCCTCCCTCTGACTAAAAACTGTTGCTGTCTTTATACTGCTTTCCTAAAATGTCACCACTCCCTTTTTTCTTCCCTCCATCTTGTTCCTCCACCGTTTCCCTCCCTCCTCCGCCCCTCCAGCTCCAGAAGGCCATCGAGGGCTCCACCCGCTCTGGCGTCCGGCTCCGTCCTCCGCTCGCAAGCTTCCGCAAACACAGCTCTGCCCCTAAACCTCCACCTTCTTCTTCCACTGCTCCCTCCTCTCCGACCTCCACCTCCTGTCCCTTAGCTCTCCCTGTTCCCCAGCCTCCACCCCTGTCTCCCCCTCACCATCAGCTCCACATCCACGAGACTGAGACGGAGGTGTGGATCGAGGGCGTGACCTTGGAGGTGGAGGAGAGCAGCAGCTACACCACGGGGAGCGGCCCCGGGGCCTGCAGCTCTCCCAGAACCAGTTGCAGCGACAACAGCAACGTCACCCTCCCTCCATCCACCCCTCCTCCCCCGGTCCCTCCCCCCTCCACTCCTCCTCCTTCTCCTTCTCCTCCTCCTTCTCCTTCTCCTTCTCCTTCTCCTTCTCCTTCTCCTTCTTCCACCTCCATCCCTCCCTCCACCCTGACACCCTTACAGAGACTGCTTGAGGGGGATGAAGACAGTGATGATGAGCCAATGGTGTAGAGTAGAAAAGAGTGATGGTCATGTTTTTTTTATAATGGAAAACTTTTTTAATGGTCTGAGTTTTGTTTCAGTTTCTTAACTTGTTGCTCTGGTCTTTGGACACTCATTTACCTCTCTTTGTCGCTGTTTATGTAGAGTAAAGATTTCAGGCATCATTTCTTAATTTTGTAAGTTTATCCCTCCCTACCAAAAAACTTCTACTATACAAATACTTAACCTGCCTCACTTATTCTTTCTCTCTCAATGTTTTTCATTTCTCAAGATTCAACCAATTTGAGTTTATATTCTCTGGACTGAAGTTGATGTCATTGTTTTTTCTTATCCAAACAAAGCCCAGAATTCAATATTACATTTTTCGAATAACATTTTTAAATCATGATAAAGTCATTCTACAGAGGAATACATGTAGAATACACTTCTATATGTTGCATTTTGATGGATTAGACACCTCTTTATGCCACAGTGCTCTCCAGGTAAAACATATGCTGCATATTTTAGTTTTTATAAACACAATATACTCTTTAAACAGTAATCTATTCTTGTATTCACACAAGAATACTAGCTCTCTCGTAACCTGTGTCTATATAGCAGGAGCTATTGATTTTGAAACTGGCAGCAGACCATCTGTATAGCAGCAGACTTAAGGAGCTGTGCAGTCTGTGTTGAAAACGACCTCCACATTGTGTGCTGACCTTGTGGCTGCGGCCTCACAGCTCATCGCGGTCAGGTTGATGGAAAGTGCAGCTAAAGGCGGCTAACGAGGGACAAACCGCTGTAAACTGGAGGTCCTGGAGATTATTTCCCCCTCGTGTTCCCTAACAAAGAAAACGTCCAGATGTTGTTCACACGTGACTTCTCTTAATTAATTAGGATTATGATTATAATATGAATAATGTTGCAAGAAGAAATTCAAACAAATAGACAGAAGCTTTTCATTCTGAAATCCATCTTGCTAACAACAGTGACATTCATTACAGTGAATGACAGCTGACATTTTGTCACATAACATTAACACGTTTAATGAAGATGAAGAGGTATGTTGACATAGAGATATTTACTAATTACTACATTAATTAGCCTAATGAATTCCCTCATTAGCAATACTATTAAATATAGGACTGCCAGCGTGATTATGAGAGCTGATCAGGCAACCAGAGAAATCCAATTAGCTATTTAACATTAGTGTACCAATGAAAAGTGGTTCAAGAGTTCAGGAACAAATGGAAAAACAAAACAATTAACCGAAAGAGGCTGAAAGCTGCGTGGAGGTTTAGAGATGGGGGTTATATCCTGTTGAGGTCAGCATAAGTCAGTAAGTATGCACTCTTTATATTAGATGTTTATGTCTAAACAGTCACATAATGTAAGTTGAACCAAAGTTATCACAAAGTCACTCACTAAGCTTCCCTCCTGCCTCTTAGTAGACTTGTGAAAGATGAAGCTTTCTTTTCTTAACTCCTTCAAAATGAAATCCTGATGATGAGTTGAAGTTATTTGCTTTCTCAAACTCAGTTAAAGGTGGGGTAGGTAATTCACTTCAGATACACTTTTTGTTGTATTCCATGGAATGCTCTTAACATCCCGATAGCAAGGAATACATGAAATGCTTTGACAATAAATATATACAAATATTTCATCTGTGGAAGCCGTGGTGCTGTAAAAAGCACGACCAATCACCTGCCTCGGCCCGCGGCAGATAATTGGATGGCCTACCTGCCTGTCAGACTTCCATCTCGTGCACAAACTTATCTCGTGCCCTCATTGGTCATGTGCACGTTCGTGTGTGTTGGAGGAGGGGCTCTGTAAGGAAGTCTGAAAAAAGGGGCAGATTTGTTTCGGTTGTGTACTTTCAAATTCTAGCGCACTCGAGCTGGTTTCTCCATTCTTACCTACCCTACCTTTAAGGCTCATAATACTGTCTCTAAAAAAGTAATTTGATCTGAAGTGACTACCTTGAACATTTTATTTTTGAACGTTTCTCCTTGTGAACCCCTTTTTTTCATTTATCCCTCCATATCCACTTTATATCTCCTTATTATCTCCTGGATTCAAATTCTCAGGTACTGCCTTAAAAGTCTTTCAAACTTACAGATTCAACGAAAAGCTTCTTCATGTTGTGTGTGTGTGTGTGTGTGAATTAAAATGTGTGTGTCCATTTCTTAAGAGAGCTCTGTACTGGTCTAAGTGCTGATGTCTTCTGTCTGTGGTTGTGGTACATTTATTTTTTAAATGTATCTCTTAGCAAAGTCAAATGCTATCTGAAATGTATAACACTGTGAAAGATGTAGCGAAATAAAGTTTTATTTAGTCTTTGTTGCATTGTTCATCCTCATGTGTTGATCTTCCTTCATCCAGGGTAAAGGCTGACCTGGAGGAAAGAGCCACATTTAAACAGAGAGAAGAGTTTCTCCTATACTCACCTGGAACAAGAGCTGAACTCAGTGAAGGTAGGGCAGAAATATAGTTTTTACTTTAGAAGTCACTTTTTTTTTTTAAAAAGCTGCTCTGATGACAAAACATATCCAAAATAATCAGCATGGCTATCTCGAACTTGGCTACAAAGATGATTTATTTTTCTCTTTCAGTATAACCACTTAATAACAATATAAATGGTGATTAATCATTTGTATCTGACACATCAAAAGAACATTTGACAGCCAGGATGACAGGATCTATGCAGCGACCTGCTGTTTCTTACCTGAATTGCCTTTTTTCTCATGTTAATTTGTGAGACTAAGGGTCACTTTTTCTAGATGTGTCCTTTAAACAGAAAGTCATTTTAGGCATTTATGTATTGCTTTTCTGACAGCTATTGTGAATCAAGAGGTTTTAAATCTTATTACAGAGAGATATATTCTATTATCTGATTTTTGCATTGCCTCCACAGAAGTAATCAAAGTGATGAACACGAGTGACATCAGACAGCATGAGTGACAGCATTTGTTTTTATTCCCAAAAAAGCAAAGAAGTTTCTCTCAAAATGCCCTCATTTCCTCGCCAGGCATCACCTTTCTTTGTTAAATCTCTCGGCCTTCAGATGTGTGCCTTGTGTGTTTGGACACTAAATGCTCTACAAGAGCAACAAGAGGACAAACAGAGGACAGATGGTTATCACAGCGCTCAGGGGCATCGTGGGCTGTGATCACTGGAGTGTACGAGGGAATCGTCCTCTCCAGCAGCTGTAGGTAGAATCTTTTAGATGAGATGATGTAAATGCTTGATTCTTTTCTATGTTTCCTTAGGCAAACACACATTTATAAAATACACTGTTCTGAGCAATTCTGTTTTGTGGCTGACCATCTCTAGCACGCATGCAGACTTTTGACATATATTGTTATAGTCTGTCTTATTTCAAGTCTTTGCACTGGCATCCACACACACACACACTTCTACACATTCAAATGAAGTCACTAAAGCATGTTGCTTTTAAGGACTTCTTCTACTGTATTATGCAGCATTTCTTTATTTAGCAGTAAAGAAAAAACACATTGCTAGCCACCGACCACAACAGCCAAACACACACAGGAAGCCTTCAAAAAGATCAAAAGGATAATAGCACTTGACCGTACAAGGGCACTTCTCTGCCTCCAGACATAGAGTCTACACGACTCGGTTCAATGAATAAGGATTTTGTTTGTGTTTTAGTGGAATTGATGACTACAAGGAAACTGCTGCTGCTCAGTGAGAAACAACTCTGACCTTCACACTGCAGTTAGAAAATGATACAGCTGGACAATTAGGTTAAACCCTTTCTTGCATTCCATTGTGTCTGTGTGTAATGTATTATATACAATAAGTTTAGCTGTCAAATCTAAGGTTAGGAAAAGGCATAAAACATAGCAAGTTAAGCCTCCGCACTTATCAATGCACAAGAAAATATGCCAAAAGTCGCTATATATGTGTCTGGGTTCGCTCATATATTTTTATCTTAGAGGGACCAAAGTGTGACCTTGAGTGGGAGGGCTTTTTTAATTGGCCCTCACTTCAGATTGATGCTGATTTTATGGTTAAGGATTGGTTTGGCAGTTAAGCTCAGAATGAAGTCTAGGTTAAAGCTGGTGCAATTTGTAATGCCTAGTCACATAGAGGGCGGTATTTAACCAAATAAAAGCCTACAAACGGCAGGGAAAAGATGTAACCTAAGGGCTGAACAGCTGATAGTTTATTGAAATAACAATGCCATTCTGTTAACTTTAAGTGTGGTGGTGACCTTGAGTTTACATTAGCTATATGTGTGTACTTTGCCACTGCCCCAGGGCTGTATGGTCTGTGTTACTTTACATTTTGATAGTACATGTATTGGACTTAATCGGAAGTGGCAGTAAAAGGTTCAGTGCCTCACAATCGCCTCTCAAGGAACAAGTGATATTACAAGTTAGCTAGCATGCTAGTTTCAGTTGATAACTCTGGAACAAATAACATAGACATTTGGATAAACTGTTAACACAGTAACCTCTTCACTCTCTGATAATCTGATAATGTTCATTTTGTTATAGTTTAAAGCTAAAATGTTGGATCATATCTTACAAATGTCACCTTTTAAGGTTTGTTAGATACAGTAAGTTAGGCAATGTGTTATCTTGGTGATGGTCATCATGTCTGTGCACTTGTATGGCACATGGTGGAAAAGAACAATACCAAGAAGAATGTGTTTCCCAGAATATATATATTTAACACACAAACAAAGCTACATTCATACATACATACATACAGTCTTACATTCATACAAATACATATCAGTTTATTGGATTTTTTTCTTTTATAATAAAAAGCAATTTGATATATTATTACTTTGTATACGGTGTTATACTGTAAGGGCTAGGTCACTGTTAAAAAGCATGCACTTTCTTTAGGTTGTGTCCAGATGAAGCGTTTGCAAATAATTGTGCAATAACAAGTGTTTGCCACAGTTCAGGCTACGTTCGGACTGCAGACCTTTTTTTTCCATCAGTCAGACTTTGTTGTCAATACCAATTTGGAGTTTAAGTAATTTTGAAGTCACTCTAGGTTGACTAAAACACAATTCTTCTCTAGCAGCAGACCCCCAATCTCAAACAAATCACCACTCAGACTCAGTATCCCAACACATCTTCGTACTGAAGTAGCGACATTTGCTCGACAAACTCCCTGCTTACCAAATGGCTCTCCTTCTCCTCATCCTTATTATCATTACATGTACTTATTAAAGCTACCACGACACTGACTTTAGTGGCCTGCATGTTTACTTGTGTAGGAGAAAATGCTGCTTGTGACATCTTTATTCTTGCTCTTCTGCGCATGCTGTTACCACCACAAGTTCCCACTGGAATCTGATTATTGGCCACAATTTAAACATTTTAACAGCCAAAGAAAAAATCGGATCTGAGTAATAAATCCCAAATTGAGCATTGGGGCTTACAGTGTGAATGTAGCTTCTAAGTATCAGATTGGACCTCATCAGAAACATCTTTACTTAGCAAATCAAACAGTGAACTAAGACCAGGTAAAGTTTCTGCTCCTGCTGAATTTCTCTAATGTTACACGCTTCACCTGAACCAACCACTCAGAATTATTTGCAAATACTGTTTAACGTTGTAATGTGATGTCCATGTTTGTTGTATTGCACTGATACTGATTTTTAATTGGGCATTTCTTTCCACTTCAGTCCTACCTTTCTCCTCTTTTTCTTCGGAGGATTCCACATGTCCTGCAGTAACTCAGGGGGGCTTCTTGGCATTTAGTTTGTGTACATTACATCCCACGATTTCGTCTCCAAAAGTCTTGTCCTCCGACTCAAAGTGGGTAAAATACTAGGGAGGGGTTGGGATAGAATAGCTTGATTGATTATTGAAGTAGTTATTTCCTATTTTGTCCGTTTCTTTGCGGCCCTCTGATTCAGTTGGTCCAACAATAACAATGGAGCCCTCCTTTGCCTCTTACTCCTCTACTGATTGGACGATGCAGGGTGTGACCTCAAACGGTTTCCTCTCCGGGACAGATTGGGCGATCTGTGCTGGCAATCCTGGGCTGGAGCCTCTGGTGGAGGGGAGGTCCTCCTTCAGGGGTGATGGGGTCAAAGAGCACGGCTCCGGCTCCAGGATTAATGTTACCTCTTCTACCTGGAAACACAGGAAGTAAAGCATTTTGAAAACTGATTGGGTGGCTACAACTGTGCTCTGTCGGAGGTAAGTACGGCCCTTATTGCCCAATTGTCTTTCATTTTAAACTTATCTCGTCGACGTATCAGTTTTTAGGACTCTGGGGTTGCAGCAGAAACCAAAGCCCAGGGATTGGGTCAGTTCCAGTTGAAAGAACTCGCCTTTGTCAGCTCCTCCTCTTCCTCCTCTTCGTGCTGCTCAGGGGTGTCTTCAGACTCGGGCTCTGGCTCCTCTCCAACCGTCTCCACTCCTCCGATCATGTCAACCATCTGTCCATTCAGCTGGCCGATGATCTCCCCCTGCAACAAGTTCAGTTTACGGATTTAATTCCCTGTCTATTTCTGTGGAAGAGGATTCAACAGGTGAATGGCCCGTTAGACCGCAGACTGACATCTACCCTTTAGTTTTAGTCACAAAAAGACAGAAACAGAGACAGAAGACAGAAAAGAGGGAAGTCAGAGATGCAGAATATGAGCTCCCATGTCCTGACCCCAGCTTGATTTGTTTATGCAGGACATCAGAGAGACAAGACACATACTTAGGTAAGTACAACAGACACAGATGCTGAATCCAAATGCCGAGAGTTGCAAACTTGCGGACTTTACAGCATGCTACTCCGAGGAGCAGGCAGATTTAAGGACGCCCTTTGTCAGAATTCATCAGGTCCGCTAAAGGCTGTCATGCAGGCTTTTGGCAGTGCTCCATGCAGACATTCAGCCTCCTACCTTGCCGATTTCCCTGGCAGTTTGTCCCATCATTCACTGCACTACAGATGTGTGCTAAATACGCCTGCTGATATAAACAAATCCAGATCCAAAAGACAAAAACAAATGAGTGTCACACATGATGGAAAATAACTCAAAAAGGCTATTCCTGTGCAGTATATGAACATCAGCTTAATATAACTATGATAAGTGCACTATTTTCACCTTTGAAGACACGCGCCTGACATCAAAGAAGATAAACCTCGGCTTCCTACAATAACAAGAGAGTATTAAATGCATAATAGGACATGCTGTCATTGTTACGATGATTCGTGTCTCACTCCTAAATGGAGACGCCTGTCCTGCTTGCCTTTGACGGTCTACACAGTCACACACCTCTGCGAACTACATCGGAATACATTAAAGCACCATTTAGTCCGCAAAGTCTGTAATCCGACCATTTGGATTCAGCAGGGGAGTGCCTACGTGGTGTGCCTCGACCAGCGCAGCTCCCCACAGGTCAGCGAGCCGGGGGTGGGTGGGAGGGCCCAGGCTGTGGATGGTGCTGTTGGGTGTGGCTTGGAGGGAATGGGAGGCACTATGTAGCCTTTGCTCCATAGACTGTAGTCACAGATAGGAAAGGAAGGAAAGATAATTAATAAAGATTTACTGTAATATAGGCTTAATATATTTCAAAAAGGTTCATTCGTTTTTCGATCAAAACCAACGACTCAGGATCAGTTTGTTTTGATTTGGAATACAAATAAAACCATCCTTTAGAGATTTCAAACACATTGAAGTCCTGTAGCTCCTTACAGTTTCAGCTTCTTCATTATAGGACAATATACACTTTCTACAATTAATTAATTTGTTTATTTGCTGCTAGTTGATTTTATTTCTATTACTGTGTTCTTGCCTCTTTATTTAATATTCTACTCTACTCTTCTTATTTTTGTCTGAGCGGTCCCTTTGCTGTAAAATAGTAAATGACCCCCATGGTGGTACGAATACAGTGTTTCTAATGTATAAATGCTAAAGTGATCTACTGCATCACAACACATTGTAGCTATGGTAGATCACAAAGCCCCGTCGTGCCAAAGCAAATGACAAAGCATTGTATTCCTTCAGCATTTAGCAGTCTTTTCCAGAGACTTGTGAAGGACTTCCTTTTAGTCCCTAATAAAGGTCTCTGTCTACTTGTAATACCCTTATCAATGATGAGTCAGGGATGGCGATGTCTAAGGCTCTTATGCTCCAAGAATTGGCGGACTGATTGAAAGTTTTATTATAAATGAAATGTGATATATTAAATATCTCCTTCAGAAGGGAAACCATAATGATACACAGAGAAAGCTAACAAGCTCATTTCTTTCGTGGTCTCGGATCAGCGCACCCTTTCTAAGAAACAGTCACTGACCTTTTCAAACTATTATTTCATAACCCTCAGGCACTTAATGAGCTCTGAGATGTTCCAGTGCTGGAGCAGCCACCGCAGCCGAACAAGTCTTGAGGTGTCACTGTTCATCATGAATCACTACATTTGCAAAAAAGCTCCCCGCAGCCTGAGAGATGGACATCAGCGGACGATTGACTGTTGTCACTGCATTGTTGTCCATTACTGAAGAAGCTGAAAAAGCACAGTGGTGCTTCAAGCTGAAAGCTAATGTTCTGCTCACCATGTTTACCACCTTTAATGCTACCACAGCTTAATAGCACCATTAGATGTGACAAGTGGGAATGCCACTAGATTTAAACATCATGTAATGATTTTGCTCTTTGTACTCAGTGCAAGTATTCTGTTGAAATCCAGTTACGTAGTTGTACTGACGTAATTCAGATTTTCCCAAACGGCTCATTTGATAGAGGCAGGCTCTAGTATCACACTGCATAAATGAACAGTGTTGGTACCACTCACCTGTTGTTGTTGGTACTGCAGGAACTGTTGCTGCTGGAACTGGTGAATGTGTTGGAGCTGTTGGAGTTGGTTCTGCTGCTGCAGGGTGTAATGATGCTGCTGAAGGTAATTGCCCACCGTCCCCTCAAACCCCTCACCAGGAGTCCCCGCCGCTCCACTGCCGCCACCTGGAACAACAAATACACACTCACGCCTTAGAGACACAGGCTACTATTCAAAGGTTTGGAGAATAGATTCAGTACGCACCTGCAGACATGATGTATGAGCCTGCAGCGGGCGAGGCCATGCCCGAGGGCTGGCTGGTGATGGGGTCCCAGGCGTCAGAGGACGACAGGCAGTACAGGCCCTGTGACACGTAGGTGTGAGGCCAGACGTCCGCCGAGGAGTGGTGGAGCACCTGGTCTGCACGGGGGACAGAGAGGTAAGAGGAGTGAGACAAATTAGGATAATAGGAAAACAAAGGGTAGTGATTAATTACAGATTTCCACAAACAATGCTTTTGCCTTTCTTTCCTGCTCTGTCAAAGTCATAATTTAAGGATTCAAAATGTTCCCTCTTTAAGAGAACACATGACACAGTTATAACATTAGACTTTGACACCTCAGCCTGTTCACAACTCAATATATTTGAGCTTTTATCTCTTAAAAAACGAAAAAACATTAGCATTAAAATGTTTCGCTCAGGATGTACTGTAATAGAGTAATAACGAAGATGCTGAATCCAACCTCAGACCCAGTGCTGTGTATTAAGACATGAGCGGCATAGCATGAACCAGCCCTCATCTTAAAGCAACCAACTGTTACCACTAATGTGGAAATAGTTAGAATAGTTGCATTTTTGTTGTTTTATAGAGTGCACACATTCAGGCTGAACTGAAACTGACTGGCTGATATTACAGCAAAAAACATCTTAATTGCTGCTTTGTGTGAGCGTGTGTGTTTGTGTGTGCATGCTAGATAAAGCACAAAGCCAAGCACATACTGTATGGCAGTGGTAATGAGAGGAGTGCTAAGTCCTTGTGCTAACCTACAGGGTCCCTCAGGCTTTGGCAGCGCTCTGCTTTGCTTCACACCAGCAATAACTAAAGAAAGAAACACTTTTCAGATTTAATCTGTGGTATTTCTGAACAGCCAGAAATAGACTAGCTTGCCTTCTCTTCTCTTCGTTTTATCATCCTATTAGCAACTAAACTAAGCATATTATCGAGTGACACTTAATCTACAAATCAGAATATGAGTTTGTTTACTGAACTGTCTTTTTTTAATTCAACCAAGTTTAACGTCATCATTACTTTTTGGTGCAGTTCATTTTGGAAAGAACTGATATGAAATTGCGTCCTCATCACACTCCAATGAGAATGTGTTCTGATGTTTCAGAAATGACTGGCTGTCATCAGAGTTTGTCATTTGGGAGTTTTTGAGCGAGTGCCCAGTAGCAGTGAAAGGCGGTAATGTGCAGCTGTGTGCCCGCCCTCCATAAGTCCTTTACAGCTGCTAGGCAGAATCACTGACTCTGCTTTTTTTAAGGTTCCAATGGGGCTCAATTTTTTCCAAAACTGTGCATCCACGCACAATTCAAAACACAATAGTTTAGTGTGTGGTCTGAAGACATATTACTGTGAGAAGTCCTATTATACTACAATCTACTGCAAAAACGCCTGTAAAGATGTTGACACTGTTTAAATGCGTTACATGAATACAAGTAAACTAATTACTAATATTCCTCCCCAGTATTCAACCTCTAATTCTGGGTTAATGTTCGTTGCCTGACCATATCTTCGCAATGGTTCCACACTGTGTCTTACAGTTATTTGCAGGAAGGTTTAAAGTGCAGTACCTCTGCTGGTGATGCTCTCCTGGTTGACCTCGCTGAGGTGAGCGACGCTGCCCTGGTTGGAGCCGGCTCCCATACTCTCCCCGTCCATCGAGTTCCAGCCAAACAGAGTCATCTCAGAGATGGCAAACTGCTGCATTATGCCTAACGAGTAAGAGTAAAATAACTGTTAGATATTTTAGCTAACTGAATCACAATTACAGAGCATACAACAAATCCCAGTCGTAGCTTTGCTGAAACATATAAAGGTAAATTAGGAGTGAAAGGAATAAAATAAAAAGTGATAGTGCCAAGCAGAAAATATGATGCAGATAAATAAATGAATAGCAAATGATCCGTTTAGATGTACCAGATCGGCCACCAGTGCGATTCTTTCTTTCCAGGCTTGTCCATTTTGGGACACACACAAAAGTTAAACAATTCCCAAAGTTTAACTACATCAGGTGATGAATTTCAACTTTGGTTATTGTTATGTAACCTTTTTGTTACTTATTATTTGACAATTGAATTGTCCAAGATGTTTTTTTTACCTTGCAGATACCTGGTCTATATCATAAGATAGAAAGCCACTGTCATTGTGTGGAATATAACAGAATTAAGAGCGCTTCCCTCATCAGGGCAGTTCAAAGATAATAAAGCACAAAAAGTGGGTCCACCTTTTGGGGTGGACACGCTTGCACACGAGCCATGGCCAAGATAGCTGCTCTACGCCTTTCCACCGCTGCGTCTCATTCTCCCCCTCCTGGAGAGGGTGAGACAAGAACGTCTGCCAGTCATCCTAGTGGCCCCAGGTCGCCGCTTGGCGCCGTGGTACGCAGAGGTGACACAGATAATGGTGGGCCAGCCCTTGACGGTTCCTCAGGTCTGGGGGGCGTTGTCTCAGGGAGCAGGTGCAATAGGGGCGTTACCCACTCTGGGCCAACCTCTCCAGGCTTGGCTCCTGAGAGGGACAGGCTGAGACGGGAGGGACTGTCTGACAAAGTTATTCAGACTATCCAGGCAGCAGGAGCAGGATCCACCACAGCCGGTTACAGGACGAAGTCGTTGGGATTCCAGTGGTGGTGTGAAGAAAGGAGTCTAGAGCCTCTATCATGTACATTGGGCTCTATTCTGTCCTATTTACAGATACTGGTGGACAGGGGGCTTGCTCATTCCACAACTAAAGTGTATGCAGCAGCCATTTCGTCCTGCCATGAGAGATTTGGCGGCAGGTCAGCCTTCAGTCAGCCGCTTTTGCAGGGGGTCAGGAGACAGCGCCCAGTGGTGCATGCCTCCTCCCCGCAATGGGATCTGCCGTTGGTGCTCGAGGCTCTGGTCACAGAACCATTTGAGCCTCTGGAGCGCTCCTCCCTGAAAGCACTATCATTGAAAACAGTAGGTATCTGACCCCCCCCCCCCCCCCCCCCCCCCCCCTGGACATAATGCCATGTTTTCCCATGCTCCTTAGGGACCCGGGAAGCATGGTGCGCAGTAAGCCCCATACAGGGCTGGAGGACGATAATCCCCACGATAATGGGGGGGGGGAGAGCTTTCCCCATTAATTTCCATGCACACTCTTCACGAGGTAAGCGTGTCTGAGTGTGCTCTACCAGCCAAGTAAACTGCGGCCCCGACTTCTCCACGGTCACAGCCGGAGGAGAAGAAGTTGCGGTGCAGTGGCTGTTAACCAAAAGCCGGTCAGGGGCAGTGTGATGGGTCGATGTTGTTGGACGACAGGGCGTTTATGCATCAGGGCTCCACCCACTGTACCCATAGAGTCCAGTAGAGGTCGGAGCCTGTGTAAGATATAACGGGGGGTTACGTATTGTAACCCTAGTTATATAAGCACAGGCGGGGCCCTCTACTTGGGGCCCTATCTGTCCTATGCTGCTCGCTGAAGAGGGTGACAGTCAGGAGGCGTGGCCGCCTTATATACTGTACGGTGGGCTTGCGTGCGCATTCAGGTAGGCCCGCCCCGAGGGGCCGGCTACGTTTATAGATATAGGTGAATGCTTGCATAGTACGGTTAAGAGGTAGTACCCATAGAGTCCAGTAGAGGGCTCCGCCTGTGCTTATATAACTAGGGTTACAATACGTAACCCCCTGTTTCTACTGTACCATGGCAAATATACACATAAATATAACTTCTGGACGTAGCACTTAAAAGGTTTGGCTTGTTTGAAACCAATGCACTAGCACTTGGTTTGGCTTTTTAAAAGCTAATGTACTTGAAGGATTTTTGCTTTTTTAGTTTCATGGTCAGATGCAATTTTGTAAGCAGCTTTGGATAAAAGCATCAGCTAAATGTAATGTAATGACACCTTCCTGTGTACTTTCAGATGTCCCCTCACCTGCAGCGAAGCGAGCCTCCTTCTCTCCGTCACTCAGGTCGCTGTAAGCATCGTTCTCGATCCTCCTCTCCTCCTTCTGCAGGCTGTTCTGCACCGCGCTCCCCAGCGGCCCCGCGGTTGGTTTGCCCCAGCTCTGCCACTCGATCATGTGGGCAACGCGACCGTGGGCCATGGCAGTGGGCTTGGTCACTTTGTCCTTCATGGAGCGAGGCACACCTACAACAGGTATGGGGCAGCAGGAGGGGCACATTCACACACACACACACACACACACACACACACACACACACACACACACACACACAGACACAGACACAGACACAGACACAGACACAGACACAGACACAGACAGACAGACAGACACACAGACAGACAGACACACACAGACACACAGCCAACACACACCAGACACACAGACAACACACACCAGACACACAGAAACACTGTCAGAACTACTTCTGGCCTCTGCAGTTGATGACACCTCCAGCTGAGGCCTGGGGGGGGGAGGGAAACTGTCTAATACATGAAACTGTCATAAATAATGCCAATGGGGTTATGAATGTACTGGAAAGATGTGTGTACAGTCTCTGGGTGTGAGAACATGGCAATTACCTAGTACTAGTATTTCAAATACATTTAGTAGTCCATGAATATCTATACCGTTATCTATGAAGAACAGTTTTTCTTTTTAAGCAAAAATCTGCCTGATACTTAAACATTTAACCTCTTACTTAATGAACCCTCCTGCTGGTGTTGTTAAGGATTCAATTACTAAATGCCATGAGAACACAACAGTGGTGTGAATACGTATTTGTTCTGAACAAACCTACAGCTAACCTTTAAACCACTGCTGCTTCAAACGTCCGTCAGTAGAACTAAACCTGAGAATATCAACCAGATACTTGCAAAGTACCTTCACCAAAACCTTTTACATTTTCCACTTTTCAGTTATTACCCCTATGCCGTTCATCAAAATGAGTCTTGACAGTCACCACTCACCATCTATTCATTTCAATTTCATCGTATTCTATTTGAAATACTAATTACGTATGTGACTGATATGGATGTGCAGAGAATGATGATAAAATCTAACATGACCTCATTTAGTAACGAGTGGATTCTGAAATGTTACTTAAAAAATATATATCTCTCAGTCTGTTGAGATTCGGATAAAAGCTGAGTATACTACAAAGGTAAGTTTTCTTTAAGTTGTTCTTCCTTGAACTCATCACATTTTTTTATTTTGTATTAATAATTGCATATCACATCTCTGGGATCTTATTCAATAAAAGTGTGAAATATTCAAATAACTTTATGAATGGAGATCCTATTAGTACATCTTAAATAAACAAATACATTAAATTATCTGAATCGGCGTCATAAAAATGCAGATCTCTGCAAAAACCGGTCAGAGGCCAGGTGACATGAGCTAACTATGGTGACGAATTTGACAGGGTTGCCTGTGTGCTTGATTCAAACAGAACGGTGCTTGGATGACGGCTGAAACGCTGACTAACCCATATTAATGATTAAAGCCATTACTCATCTCCCGGTAAACAGAATAAATGAGATTCATTAGACTTTCCGTAATTAAAAACGTCGCGCAGGGACTGAGAGAGGCACAGAAAAGTCATCGTTGGGTGTAAACACACGTTAAGAAGGGCGACTGGCAAATATCTTCCCAATTAGGATGCAAATGCGCGATTGAAACCAGGGACATATACTCTGAGTCAAACGCTCGCAGAGAGGATGATCAATGAAAAATGTAATTAAAATCAAACCGACGTTTATAAACAGGGACATAGATTTGGAAATTGCTCCCCCGAACCAGGGGGCAAGTTACTGGCCGAGTTATAAATAGAAACAGTTTTTTCCCCTTAGACAAAGGGAGCCAATCTCATTTGAAAATCAAACACTCACTGCGGAGTCTTATTGGAGATGGACATAGGAATTGAAAGAATGGGGATGAGGGGTGAGGGAGGGTGTTGGGGTCCTGGCTATTCAAAGGCTCACAAAATAATGCTAAACACTGTTCAATTATACCAACAGATTTCTTCAAAGTGCACCAGACACAAAAACAAAAAGACACTTTTGACAAAGACACTCTGAGGGGCTACACTTAAACACTACAAAGCACAGAGACCTACAGTTAGAAACACATATATAACACACAAGAGGCACCGGCCACTTGAAGTCACGACACTGCACAAAAGAGTCACTGCCTCACATATATATCGGGCCACACCACCGACAGCACTGCCACGGTACGAATACACTACATTTCCCAACACACCTGTGGAGATGCTTCAGTAGGTCATTAAAGTAAGTAATCTCACTTACTTTAGTTTCTTTGAAATAAAAAGATCTGATTGGATTTCCATCAATGACTCTGCGAATGCGTCATTGATGTCTCTTGTTGTTGTGTCAATGGAAGAGAAGGTAAAGTAGGGAGTGATAAAGGAAGGGGCACCCACAGGGTGGCCATGTTGGTTCCAAGCTCCTCCTCCTCCTCCTGCTCTAGAGTGAAGTTGTTGTCGAGGCAAAGTTTGATTTAGAAAATCAACCGTTTATGGCAAAGGTGAAAAGATCATTTCAGTTGTTTTTTTCAAGTGTGTCAGATGATTTTGGAGTGCAGAAACTAAGTGAGAGTAAAGGCAGAATGGGGATTGTATCTTAAAAACAAATCTCAAAGTAAAAGCAACTCCAGATGTAAGATAACCTCTGGGATCCTTTAGTGGCCATAAACTCCCCTGGTGACCATCTCGCCTCTCATTTAATGTTCCTTTTTAATGTGTAATAAATTGAAGACATTGCCTAAAAATTGCTTAATAAAATAGAATTTAAAATGACATACAGTTGGTAAAACCTTTTGGGAAAATCAGCAGTTCTTTGATATCATTCTTAATTAGCTTGTTTTCTTAGCTGTAGAATGGTATGAATATCTGGAGTGTGGATATTAAGCTAAAAGAGATTTGTATGGCTAAGTTGCTTCTTTTTTTTGTTTTGCTAGAGAAGCAGCTTCTTTGATTTGAGCATGTTTCATTAGTTACCGGTTACTCACTTTATGATAGTAATTCTGAATATAATTAAAAATATAAACAGTGAAAGTACTATATTAAAGTTAGAGAGTAATCTACCATGCAATGAACAGCACAAAGTACTGCTGGATGGATTTTTGCATTATGCTGCAGCAAAATGTGATTTCATTAAGAAGGAAAACAACTTATCTTACATCTTAGGTTTTTTTTTTCAAATTCCATTCTGCAAAGTGGAATGAATGCTTTGGTTGTCTAGCAACAGCCATACATACCTCACTAAGCTAAGGTAAGGCTAAATGAGTGCTAACATTGAGCAGATTTACATTTCAAGCATAATGAAAACTAAGTATTTGAACAACTTTTTAAATTGGTCTTCATGCCACATTTACTCATTTATATTGAAGCAGAAATGGGAAAGTTATGTTGCAGATTTGTCTGGTAGTTCTGTCAAACCACACATCGATCATTCAGCTCCTGCACGACTGCACCAAATAACCATCTGAATATCACATGTAAATAAACCAAAAACTATCTTTAAAACAGCGGGGAATGGAAGTTTAGCCCCCTTTACATCTCAACAACAACTTGACCCTTGACCCTCTGTGGAGTACATGGAGTCAACATGGGGGCAGTTTTACCATCAAGCAGCACAGACACACACCTGACACACCTGTCAGAGAGGACTTAGCCAGAGCGCCGATCCCATAGGCCTGAGGGGGCTTCCTCTTGGGGCGAGGAAGAATGGAAGTAGTGTCCTCCATGGACAACTAAAGACAGAAGGAGAAAGATAAAGAGTGGTTGGAGCGGAGAGGGTTCACAGAAAAATAAAGAGATGAGGGAATTTAAGAGAAAGGAGGATAAAATAATTCCAATGTCATAGGTAAAATGACAACATCAGAATAGATGAGAGAGAGAAAATGGAATGAAAGAAATTGAGGTGAAGAGAGCAAATATTAGAAAATTCAGAAAATAGTTAAATAGAGATAGAAGAAGAGAAGGGAGATTGTTATAAAGGGAATAAGAAAGCAGGGTTAGTTATTCAAATACTTCATAAATGACTTAAAAGGATCATTGCTTGAAAAGAAGAGAGTTAAGGATGTACAGTGGCTAAAAGAGAGAAACAAGGCCTGGGCAAAGGCTAGGAAATCAGGCTCAGAGGTAGAATGGCTGCGTTTTAGGCAGCTAAGGAATAGCTTCACTTCACAGGTCAAAAGTGCTAAGTCGAAGTACTATTTGTCAGTTACTACAGAAAACCTAAATAATCCTAGGAAATTTTGGAAAGCCATAAAATCGATATCCACCGGTGAGATCCGAAATGAGCTACCTCCGTGCCTTACCACAGCATCTGGCTCTATATCGGACAGGGCCACTATGTTAAATTGCTTTAATGAGCATTTTGTGTCCTGCGGTTCTATGTTTGATTCTGAGACTAACTCTGCTTCTGTGAACACCACAGTCTGTGACTCTGAACAATGTGGTCTGGAAAACCCTTTCAGTTTTACTCCTTTTACTGTAAATGTTGTTCATGAAGCATTATCTAAGTTAGATCCTAAGAAACCGGCTGGCCCGGACAACGTAGAACCTTTCTTTTTAAAGATAGCTGCAGATTGTATTGCTCTACCTCTCACTTCTCTTTTTAACCTCTCCCTCAGCACAAATACAATTCCAAAAGTATGGAAGTCAGCGTATGTCTTGCCTTTGCTAAAAGGAGGGGAAGCAACTATTTTAAATAACTATAGGCCAATCTCTAAATTATCAGTTCTGGCTAAGGTTCTTGAACGCCTAGTGAGTGAACAAGTAAAGGTGTTCTTATGTAAAAATGATATCCTGTCTAAACATCAGTCAGGCTTCAGAAAGCAACATAGCACCATCACTGCCACAATGAAAGTGGTGAATGACATTGCGAGTATTTTAGATAATAAGCAGAGTTGTGCAGCTCTATTTATTGACCTTTCCAAAGCGCTTGATACCGTCGATCATCGCATCTTAAAGCAGAGGCTACTCAGTATTGGCATATCCAGCCATGCAGTGGGGTGGTTTGTGAACTACCTCTCTGAAAGGTCCCAATGTTTTCAGTTTGATGGGCTGTCTTCTGAGTGGTTAAACATTGCTAATGGTGTTCCTCAAGGTTCTGTTTTAGGTCCACTTTTATTCTCCATATATATCAACAGTTTAGGTGAAAATGTGGATGAAGCTACTTTACATTTTTATGCTGATGATACCGTGATGTACTGTGCAGGTCCCTCCATTAAGGAGGCTGTTGTTAAATTACAGGCTGTTTTTAACATTATTCAGACTCAGCTCTCTGAACTTAAGCTTCTTTTAAATGTTGATAAAACCAAGGTAATGCTTTTTTCAAAAGCTAAAAAGACACCAGAGCCTGTTTTAGATATTGTTACTATGCAAGGACAAGTACTAGAAGTGGTTGCCTGTTATAAATACCTTGGTATCTGGCTTGATGATTGTCTTACTTTTAAACTTCATGTCAATAACCTGCTTAAAAAACTGAGGGTTAGACTAGGTTTCTTTTTCAGAAACAAGTCCTGTTTCTCACTTGAGGCCAGGAAAAGGCTAGTCACTGTGACCTTTTTACCTGTGCTGGACTATGGTGACTTGTTCTATATGAATGCACCTGCCCATTGCCTGAACAAGTTAGATGCCGCCTATCACAGCGCACTGAGATTTGTCACAAATTGTAAAGCACTTACACATCACTGTACCCTGTATGCCAAGGCAGGTTTGCCATCACTTACTGTACGGAGGCTCAGTCATTGGTACACGTTTATTTATAAAGCTTTGTTGGGTAAACTCCCGTATTATATCTGCTCTCTGATAACACAGAGAGTTGCAAGCAGCTATTGTCTGAGATCGCATGATGTAGTATTGTTAGATGTGCCAAGAGCAAGGACTGTCTTAGGTAAGACAGCTTTTATGTGCGCAGCTCCAATTGCTTGGAACAGTCTTCAGCAAGAATTGAAACTGAGCAATCTCATTCCTCTGCATGTTTTTAAAGCTAGGCTAAATGAAATGCTCGTTGATACTATGGGTACTTGTAAATGTCTATAACTATGTAAATGTATCCTGTAAATATAATGTATGATGTCCTTTATTGTTTTATGTTTCATGTGGAACCTATATGCTGCAGGTATCCCTTGAAAAAGAGATCTATGATCTCAATGGGACCAATCTGGTTAAATAAAGGTTTGAAATTAAATGAAAAGGGAAAATGTATTCTTAATTAATAATTGATTAAAATGCAGTTACAATAGACAACAGACTATGGTGAGCACAGCAGCTGGTAGTCGGTGTACAATCCTCATGAAAACCTTATGATATGGAGCCGTTATTTCATATTTCATATTTATATTCTATAATTCATTACATTCTATTTCGCTGTAAATTACTGCTTTATTTTATTGTTATTTAACTATATTTGATTACAGTGTCCTTAAAGATGATTTGTTTTATATTAGATTTTTTGTTTTATATGGAGATTCTTTGTTTTATATTTTTTGTGAGGAAGAAAAGACAAACTGGAGGATAAGAAGAGGGAGTGGGAGAGTTAGATAAGAGGGGAAGAGAGAGCGGCAGGAAGGGGTGAAGTGGTTAAACATGTAGGATGCTGATGTGTGTACGCTAAGCCCAAACACAGGTGGGTGAGTGATGGAGGGGGAAATGAAAGGAGCAGATTTCACAAAGAGACTTACATTGATCCTGTCCCAGGAAAACTCAGGATGGCCATGCTGGGTAAGGGATAAGATGGGAGGAAATAGAGGGAGAAGGGGAGGAGAAACATACAGGTGTAGCAAAGCGGGAAGAGAAGAGAAGGGAGGAGAAGGATTGGGATATAGAAACTAGTCTTCAGCCTAATTCCTGAATTATTGCAATTGGAAATAGTTTGGAAATGTAATTGTCTGCTGCTGCCCTGTCCAGAGGAGTTTGAATTAATTAAGAAAAGCTCATGAGATCCTGCAGTTTAGAATATGAATATATGAACTTATTTATATTTAAAGTGACTGATCTTAAAAAACCCTTAACCTTTCAAAGTAGTGTTATTGTTGGTGCCATTCTTTCTATTTTCCTGTGGCCTATGGTACACAGTATACAGAGCATTTGGTTCCAAACAATGTAGATGTTGTACATTTATTTTTTTGTCCATTGATGTTCATTATGAAAAACAGATGGATCTACTTGATTGTTAGCAACATAGCTACTGCTAAGTTCCCGGCTAACGTGTCTAAAGCAAGAAACCGTAATAATGCTGAATAACTTAAAAACCCAACCTCAATGCAAGTTCAATCTTTTCAGTTTGAATCAACCTTTTTTTGTGTGTGTAAACCAAGCCTGATATCACAATGTTTAACAGTGAAATGTCTTTCAGTCATGGTGTATAAAGAGACAGGGTGTTCCTGGAATGGGACGGGAGGTACATAGAAGTTGAGTATAGTTTTTTGTTTATGTGCTGTCAGCTGCACCATTCCTTTTTATCCATCGACACTGCCCAGCATGTTTAGGTAACCAATGGATACCATTCAGCAGTGACCCTGTTGCTAGGGACAACGGCAAATGTGATGTAGACTAAACCTGGATGCCTCAATCGTGTGTCCTCATGCACATACATACAAACACAGAGAACCAGGAGTATTAATCATGCGGTACAATAAGCACAAAGGGAGGGGGGGAACTTTTTAAAATCTGGCAGAGAATTTAAATACTCTGCTGTCAAAAGGGATTTCTTTTGTTGCCCTTTGTCCAAGCACCCCAAGAGTTTCTCTGCTGGCACTTTAAGCTTGTTATCACAGTTGTAACATTCAAAGCCACACATTAGTCTGCATGAGAGGTGACACGGAGAATGCCCTAAACTTATCTAAGTCAATGCCAGTTTTGAGACAAACTTCACTTTAATATTTAATATTTATTCTTGAAGATGATTATATTTGATAACCTTCTAATTTCTGTATGTAGCACTTAAAATGGTTTGGCTTATTTGAAGCCAATGCACTAGCACTTAAAAAGAGTTGGCTTGTTCAAAACTAATGTTCTTGCTGTTTGAGTTTGTATCTTATTGCATTTATTGTAAGTTGCTCTGGATAAAAGCATCGGTTAAATTAAATGAAAATAATCAATCTCCTATGATATGAAAAAAGTAATGATAACAGAAGGGCTTATGATGTCCTACACCCACTAATAGCTATAAAGAAAGACAAATCACTCTCTGGGCGGGGTTTGGCCTCCATTTCAGGCCCTCAGGATGGTTAAGAAGAAAAATCTTGCAATAATACAGCTTTTACAAAATACACCAACCCTACTAACACACGCCACTCTCTGGTCGTCCTGTCTCTGCTGTATGTGTAGTTTTTCTATTAACTTTAAAGCTTGGCAGGGACACTTTTTGTCATAAAATTGAATACATTTTAGTATATACACTTATCACTTAATAGTCCTCTAATACATATCAGTTAAATACCAAACATATTCACTAATGCTTATGATTTTGGACTACTCATTGTCATGATATGCTATTTTCTGTCAGCAGAGAATTGCCCAAAGCCAACAGTAATAACACATTCATACCCTAGATTTATGAATTAACCGCATTTCATTGTGAGGGAAGATGTTCCTCTCCTATTGAACCTTCAATTGTGTGATTTAGAATATACAAAAGATGGGTTTTTACATAAAAATCTAATCTTGAGCAGCTGTTAAGGCGCATCATTCATTCCCACAAGGCCATCCAAAGAAGCACACCAAATAATAATAAAAATGC